CTTCCATAACAGCATACACCTCTATGCCCCTTCACCCAATCCTCACACACAACATACACCTCCATATACCTTCACCCATTCCTGCCCCTATCAACATGCACCTCTGTGTACCTTCACCCATACATACCTCCCCATATCAACATACACCTCTATGTATCATCAGCCATTCCTGCCCCGACCAGCAAACGCCTATATGTACCTTCACCCATTCCTCCCAATATCAACATACACCTCTATGTGTCTTCACCCAGACCTCCCCTACCAACATGCACCTCTGTGCATGTGTACCTTCACCCATTCCTCCCCATATCAACATACACCTCTATGTGTCTTCACCCAGACCTCCCCTACCAACATGCACCTCTGTGTATGTGTACCTTCACCCATACCTCCCCTATCAACATACACCTCTATGTGTCTTCACCCATACCTCCCCTACCAACATACACCTCTGTGCACCTTCACCCATACCTCCCCTACCAACATGCACCTCTGTGTATGTGTACCTTCACCCATACCTCCCCTACCAACATACACCTCTATGTGTCTTCACCCAGACCTCCCCTACCAACATGCATCTCTGTGCACCTTCACCCATTCCTCCCTCACTACATACACCTCTATGTACCATCACTAATTCCTCCATCTATCAACACACACCTCCATTTACCTTCCCACATTCCTCCCTCACAGAATACAGCTATATCTAACTTCACCAATTCCTTCCATAACAGCATACACCTCTATGCCCCTTCACCCAATCCTCACACACAACATACACCTCCATATACCTTCACCCATTCCTGCCCCTATCAACATGCACCTCTGTGTACCTTCACCCATACATACCTCCCCATATCAACATACACCTCTATGTATCATCAGCCATTCCTGCCCCGACCAGCAAACGCCTATATGTACCTTCACCCATTCCTCCCAATATCAACATACACCTCTATGTGTCTTCACCCAGACCTCCCCTACCAACATGCACCTCTGTGCATGTGTACCTTCACCCATTCCTCCCCATATCAACATACACCTCTATGTGTCTTCACCCAGACCTCCCCTACCAACATGCACCTCTGTGTATGTGTACCTTCACCCATACCTCCCCTATCAACATACACCTCTATGTGTCTTCACCCATACCTCCCCTACCAACATACACCTCTATGTGTCTTCACCCAGACCTCCCCTACCAACATGCACCTCTGTGTATGTGTACCTTCACCCATTCCTCCCCATATCAACATACACCTCTATGTGTCTTCACCCATACCTCCCCTACCAACATACACCTCTGTGCACCTTCACCCATACCTCCCCTACCAACATGCACCTCTGTGTATGTGTACCTTCACCCATACCTCCCCTATCAACATACACCTCTATGTGTCTTCACCCATACCTCCCCTACCAACATACACCTCTGTGCACCTTCACCCATACCTCCCCTACCAACATGCACCTCTGTGTATGTGTACCTTCACCCATACCTCCCCTACCAACATACACCTCTATGTGTCTTCACCCAGACCTCCCCTACCAACATACACCTCTGTGCATGTGTACCTTCACCCATACCTCCCCTACCAACATACACCTCTATGTGTCTTCACCCATACCTCCCCTACCAACATGCATCTCTGTGCACCTTCACCCATACCTCCCCTACCAACATGCACCTCTGTGTATGTGTACCTTCACCCATACCTCCCCTACCAACATACACCTCTATGTGTCTTCACCCATACCCCCCCTACCAACATGCACCTCTGTGCACCTTCACCCATACCTCCCCTACCAACATACACCTCTGTGTACCTTCACCCATACCTCCCCTACCAACATACACCTCTGTGTACCTTCACCCATACCTCCCCTATCAACATACACCTCTATGTGTCTTCACCCATACCTCCCCTACAAACATGCACCTCTGTGTACCTTCACCCATTCCCGTCCCTATCAACATACACCTCTATGTGTCTTAACCCATACCTCCCCTACCAGCATACACCTCTGTGTACCTTCACCCATTCCTCCCCATATCAACATACACCTCTATGTGTCTTCACCCATACCTCCCCTACCGACATACAATTCTATGTACCATCACTAATTCCTCCATCTATCAACACACACCTCCATTTACCTTCACCCAATCCTCGCACACAACATACACCTCCATATACCTTCACCCATTCCTGCCCCTATCAACATACACCTCTATGTGTCTTCACCCATACACCCCCTACCAACATACACCTCCATATACCTTCACCCATTCCTCCCCATATCAACATACACCTCTATGTATCATCAGCCATTCCTGCCCCGACCAGCAAACGCCTATATGTCCCTTCACCCATTTCTCGCACACAACATAGACCTCCATATACCTTCACCCACACCTCTATGTGTCTTCACCCATACCTCCCCTACCAACATGCACCTCTGTGTACCTTCACCCATTTCTCCCCTACCAACATACACCTCTGTGTACCTTCACCCATTCCTCCCCATATCAACACACACCTCTATGTGTCTTCACCCATACCTACCCTACCAACATACACTTCTATGTCCCTTCACCCATTCCTCGCACACAACATAGACCTCCATATACCTTCACCCACATATAATAATCTGCAGAGTTGTCTCTGTAATCACCTGCCCCAGTGAAGGAGACCCCATACGTGGAAGCGATAGGATAACATATAAGAATGCTTATGTTAATTCATGTTTAGATTCCTACATTTGATTTGCCTTTGCATGTGTTTCCATGCCACCGGAGGGGCAGGATGAGCTTACCTTAGGCAAACATTTGGTGTCGTGACTACATTAACACATATTTGACACACTCGGAATCGCAAAAGGGACTCTGCTCTTAGTAGAAATTTATTATGCTATGAAATGTTTTTGTCGCCTTTTTTATCACATGTATCAACTGATTTGATACAGACCTTTTCATGAATGTATTCATTGATGTTGATATTTTCATTGTCACGGATCGTGTGAATTAAAAATCTAATTCTATTTATCTGATTCAGGGAAAGCAGAAATTTTATCCGGATTTCGACGATTCTTGTTACCATGGTTGAACAGAATGATAAATACAAAACAAAGCGAACGGAACTAAGGACAATATCAAGTCATTCGGTTTCCTTGGTTATGTTAATTTTAACGAGTGTTAGCTGTACTTCTATACTGGTATTATCCTGGTATTACTTGCTCTTAAACATGTTAAATCGAGTTTAGCTCTAATACCGCCACATTATGTAGACTTAGGATTGTTCATTTGAACTTTGTACATGCAAGTATTTTGCACCAATCTTAGTTTGAATTGCACGTTACAGCGTAAAGTCATTTTATACGGGCACATTGACTTAAAGACTGAATTATATACAGGACACGAAATTCCGGACTTTTGAGGGATGCGAATAACTAAGATTTGTTTGACGTTCTATGAGCTGATGGTCACTGTGCAGTGAGTGAAGGTGTTAATTTGAGGGATTTGTCAATGCTCGAGACTCACATTCTACCAATATATTACAAGTCGAAGGTCAAATGAGACGCCTGAAGCGCATGAGCAAAGTCAGCGCAACCTTTTTCCGCCGACAGAAGACGCGCCTCAAGCTAACAGCCAATATAATTGATAAGTAGACCTCAGGTGTCTAATATTGTTATATTCATTGTAACATGGCTTTTGAAGCAAACACGTCAAAATCGAAAGCTGCAGACGATCTAAACCTGTCACTCAGTACCAATATGAACGATAACTTTCATGAACTTCCCAATAATTCCACTCGACATAAGCTCTGCACAGCCAATATCAAGGGCGAATCCGATCCCAAAAAGTCCCGCCATAGGAGCTGATATGCGTGAGATGCAGATATCGGTTTGAGAAAAACGATAATATATCACAGAGACTTCAGGTGACATAGTGTCCGAAAATATTAAGTTCAACGGCTGTTGTCTGAAACATGTAAAATTTGTTTGAGAACAAGACAAACATAGCAAAAGATTATTTGAGAAAACGCCCAGGTTCCTTGGGGATTTGCTCAAAATTCGCTGGACATACAATCTTTGTTCTATCAACGTAAGGAATTTTGTCCATCAGTATCATGTTGAACACCATTGTATGGTGATAAATGTGAAGGACTCGAGGTAGCACGTCGTATTTGACAAACGACTGGCATCTGTCCTAGAAAGAGGCCGCCTTCACAATTAAAACCATGGGCATATGCTTCCCGTGACAGAGTGAGTGAGTGATCGAGTGTCTTTTTGCAATATTCCCTCATTATCACGGCGGGGGAAACCAAAGCATTGGCTTCACACATAACACCCAATGTGGGGAACCGAACCCGAGTCCTCTGCGTGACAAGCGAACGCTTAACCACCAAGCTACCCCACCGCTCCTTACCGTGGCAGAGGGAGAGGTTACATATATCTATGCGCATGACTAACAACTACGCTCTTTCGGGAAACAGTCAATCGGACACACCATACTGGTATTGATGCCAGCTAATGGTCAGCAATAGAAATGGAAGAGAAGGTTAACAGTCTTATCTTTAAATACAATTTGTTTACAGGACTTACCTGGAATTAGCATTATCTACAGCGCTTATCTGGAAATATATTTAGACTACAGGGCATACCTGGACATATTATTAGGCTTCAGGGCTCCACCTGGAAATACCATTTTTACTCCAGGGCGCGACCTGGAATATCATTTATCGACAGGGTGCAACCTGAACAATAATGACGCCTGTATTCACCTTGAAAGGGAATGGTGGTATAACTCAGCGGTTAATGTGTTCGATCGTCACGCGATAGAAACAGATTCCACCACATATGCATTGTATGGTATACATAACCCCGATTGTTAATGTTCACCATAACGACATTACAAGAATATTGCCTAAAGTAGCTTAAAAATCTTACTCACTCTCCCGCTCATCAGAAGTGTTCAATGACAGGCAATGACTAGTAAATGTCTCAAGAATTGTTTATTCTTTTAAGTTGATACATCATTTGTAATCCAGAAACCTGAAAGAGAAAAGATGAATTTGATTACTCTACTAATCTTATAAAAAGCTATATTTCATAGTATCCGATAGAATTACTGAAACAAAAAACGATGCAGCCATAATCATGGCCCAGCATCAGGAATGCATAAAAGTTTCGAACCCGGATTGCGCAAACCGAATTTAAGCTATTAAAGGAAAAGGGGAAGACTTCTGGCAGGATTATAGCTTAAGTATCTTTAGTGCCGCTGTCTTATTCAAACGTACATTGAAACGTTTCTATGTATGCTAATCATCAAACATGTTAAATAATAAATCAATGTAAATATCATCTTTGTGTTTGACGTGACAAACATGGTTGTGAATATCACTCACATAATCCTTGAATAAACCCTGTATTAATCCATCATCACCATCAATAATATTAATGCAAAGAACTCACCTCTAAGAACACTTTGCGTATGAGGCTACGTACAGATCCAAGTTCGTGCAGCGGGCCTTCTCAAAAAGACAGCTGCAAATAGCAAAGCGGTGTATTTGTGTATTGTTTGTACCTGAACATAAGTTAACCATCGTCAATACTTCACAGTCTTTGATGGGCATTTAGAAGTTGGAAGAACATGAATATATGACACATATGTCCTGTGTTCATGTTCAACCAATTTCTAAATGCCTATCAAATACTTCACAGGTTTCTATACACTGTGAAAAAATACCTTGTAGTGTTGTCACTATGTTCAACCAACGACTACAATCGTTTCATCAAGAGGGAAACCAACGGTTGGTCCGTCCAATGAGCGGTGAGATTAGATTGCGCAAACGGCAATTTTTCTAAGCTACCCACTGTTTTAATATCTGGTAACGACAGGGTTCGCACAGAATTTATGCACGGAGTAGGGTTCATTTACGTGAGATACCCACGGCCTCATGCCTTTGCTTGACATAAAATAAAAACCCGTCACTACCACACTATGTCGGTCGTAGTATTTACTGAAACTAGTGGAAAGTGGTGATTACATACCCGTGAATTTTTTAAAATGAATTCAAGGAAACCGAATCGAAATTAATTGCGGTTGATCAACAGTCATTAGTCTACGCTACGTATAAGTATGTTCCAACTGAAGTATTTGATGAGTAATTCTATTTGAATATTTTTTTCGGAAACTGAAGATCTTTGGGAAATCGGTTACTAGAGTTTGAATGTGAAGTTAGATATTTGCCTTTGTTGTGTATTCAATTTCAATATTTTAAAAGAAACGGAAAATATAAAAAGTGTACATTGTTATTTTGTAAATTTATTCTAAATGTTTGCAAATTCCCTAATTGGTGTAGTCTATGGGGAATGTGGCAGACATCCATTGTGTGTTTCTTGTCACACAAATTGTATCACATACAGGTTGAAATTAAGGACAATGCTCACTTACATATACCCCTAAGTGTTAAGACTGACACGTGACCATGCACAGCCTTATTAGAATTCTTATGTCATAAATCTTTTAATAATAATCCTACCGATTTGGTCTCGTGTTGATTTCCCAGAGGGTTGGAGCCACAGCAATATTTTTGAATACGTTTAGACAGAGACTTACTGACTGTGTTGAGCAGAAGTGGCATGGGAACTATCTAATAGGAAGTCGTTATACTCCTGCTCATGCTTGTAATGCACATTTACGACAGGGGTAAATTTACACTGTTTTAACCACAGTAAATTTAGAAAGACGTTTAATTGTTTGGAAGCTCATTTTACTTTTTGGGAATACAAAATGTTATGAAAGATATGTGTGTTATGAAAGATTTCGAGGCAAATATTTTTCATTGTCTATTTTAAGAAACATTACCAACTAATGCCATAATTGCATTACGTAATAAGGCGGTACTCTGTTTGAAGTGGGGTGGTGGAGTAGCATGATGGTTAAAGCCTTGGCTCGTCCCACCGAAGACCCGAGTTCGATTCTCCATATGGGTACAATGTGTGAAGCCCATTTTCCGGTGTCCTCCTCCTTGATATTGCTGGAATATTGCTAAAAGTGGCGTAAAACCATACTCACTCAATCACTGTTTGAAGTATCGCAACTGAAAACACTGTTAGAAAAATATTTACATAATCTCTTAATCCGTGGTGATACGATGTAATTGCTAGAAAAATATTTACACAATCTCTTAATCCGTGGTGATACGATGTAATTGCTAGAAAAATATTTACATAATCTCCTAATCCGTGGTGATACGATGTAATTGCAACCACCTGGAATACTAATTTTGTTTGTGCAGGGTGTATGAGTGAGGGTGCTACCGTATGAGCAGGGCTTGCTTATCCTGTTCGCGAACACGTGGAGTCATCACGAATTTCCAATGATCCATTCAAGTAAGTTTCACCGCTATTTTGCCTTTTACGCCCAATGTAATCTCCCTCCCTGGATAATCGAGAATGATTATTCTCTTGCGTTGACGTTATAAATTGAAATTTGATGTCTACTTTTATTAACTGAGAGTGAGTGAGATGGGTTTAACGCCGCTTTTAACATTATTCCAGTTATATCACGGCGTGTCAGCATGATGTGGGAGGAAAGCCCGAAGTTATGCAGGTCTCAGACGTTTGCCATTTCGGTGAAACCCACGAACACGGGTATGGTACTGACACATCTAGAAACATAATCGGGGCGAACCGGGATTCGACCCCACAATCATAGGTTTCTGGCGTGACGTAACAGCGAATCGCAGCGCCTTAGACGACTCGGCCACCCGTTCCCCCTATTGACTAAGAAGCAGAGAAGAGGACCATTGGATGATCTGATGTACAAAACTATCAATGAGTCAATCAACAACAATAATGATTTAATCCAATTGTGAAAAAACACACCATTTGATCCTTAGTAACAACGCCTCAAGCAAACAAATTCAATACTGCTGTAAACCGTCAGCGACTAATCCTAAAATTACTTTTGAAACTAGAGCACGAGCTTTTTAAAGACATGTGTTGATTCATAAAGATCCAAATCAACTTGATGACGTGAAAACTCATAAACGATTGTGCCAATGATTTAACGAAATGGTCTCTTACAAGTTCATGTAGTCCACGTGGTCGGAACCACACAGGTGTTCCACGTCAATTCCACAGTGTTTGGTGGCCATCTGGGAACAGAAGAACTGGTATATGGCAGAGGTACCGGGAGTTCCGGTTGTACCGGAAGAGGGTGTACACGTGCCATTATGTACAGCCTGAAGAGTAAGGTCCTGACAGTGGGCCTTGGAAAAGAGACACCTGGAAAGTAAAAAGTCAATGTGTGAATGTAGCAGTAGAAGTGGCGGTAGAGGATGCAGAATGACACCAGAAGCAGTGTCTGATCAATAGCAGTTCCTGTAGCAGTGACAGTAGCAGGTTGAAAGTTGTAAATGTAGAAATCGAAGCACAGGGTAAATTAGTTGCTTCTGAAGCAGTAATTGTTGAAGTGGTGGCAGTACATTAACGTCACATTAGCTGTATCCATGTGAGTGAGTGGATGTTGTCATTGTCAGTCAATATCCAGTCATATCACGGCAGCCAGTGAACAATCGCGTCTGGGCCCTACAGACAAGTGGATGAAATCACGGGAATTGAACTCCACAAGTGGGCTACTTTGAAACGTTGACGGTGCCTTACAACCCGATCAAATTTTAGTCGACTCTTACGAACAGGAATTGGGATCTACTGAGACCCGGAAGTCCCACATTGTGCACATGATCATAATGCACAACAACGGCATTCAGCAATGTATGTTTTACCTATTGTCATAGGTTTTGCCGTCGCTACCACACTCTGGGTGATGGGCAAATAAGGAACAGTCAGCGCGGTTGATAGCTCTGCATATGGTCCTGATAGGCGACGTCGTCTGGCTGTAGCAGGCTGGGGGTAAGACCAGTAGATAAATGGATAAACACACAGTACATTTATGGGAACATCATCGATCATCTAGTGTATCATATGGTCATTGTATTAATGCAAATGCTTTGCACCCATTGGCCGCCGTAGTTTCGTTTCAGAAGTGTCGTCACCATATCACTAACTCAGCACAGAATTTCTTTCCTTCAGGGGACATATAGGATTGGATGGCTCTTTCAGCGACTTGCCAGTCGAAAGTACACAAGACAATTTATGGTTGCGAACTGATCCAATGTATTTGTCAGAATGTAGATCAACGAGGATCAGAATATGATAATATTATATAAGGTTACCATGTCCTTCACATACAGCTGTGTGAAGCATCAGGTGGTCGTAAATTCTACTCAACGTGCAAACTTAAATAGCGGCTCACAATATTATTTCAAAATATACAGATTACTTTTGACGGCCTTTTCATGTTGTTTTTATACTTAATTAACCTGCCAAACGTCAGTGCTTGTGATATAAAAACAATACGCTGGGCAAATGTAACAGTGGGTTATGATAACCAAAACTGTATTAATAAATCATTGAAATTGCGATAAAAGGAGTAAAAAGCACCTCACCTACAAACACTGCGATAATTGAGAGTAACTTCAGCATCATGAACGTGAGGAAAGCTGCCCCAGTCTGGAATATGCAAAATGTATGACTTGGACAAGAACCGTGTACTTTCCCAGGTGGTAACCTTATCTGTGACCTACCTTGTAGGTGTGTCGGGACGGCATGTGCTTACTGTGGTGTCAATACAGATTTTCAGTGATCCATTTCTATAATTTTCACCGCCGATTGACTTCCATGCCCAGTGGAATCCGTTTCGGCGAATAATCGAAACATGTTATTCTCTCACGTTCACGTTTTATATTCAACAAAGGGCTGCCTACAGGCAAAGGATTACGCATGGCTTGCTTCACTTTCGCCATATCACAACGGTCTGTAAGCAGCGCCTGGCTCAAACCAACAATTGGCCGTTATTATGAGCCAGGTCCTGTGCCGTCCGCGAACGATTAAACAGGCAACACCTGATCTCATTAAGGTCGGATCTTAGTTCTCGCTACCGCTAAACACAGATACGACGACACACCATTACAGGTCACGTCACAATGTAAGTTCCCGGACTTTGACCTACAAATGAAATAAGTCGACATCAGCCTATTAGACGTTTTCACGAGCCTTTTGGAACTGACTTCAAACTGGCGACATCCATCCAGACAAAGCTTTGAATATTAGCGAATCAAATTTAAAAACCGAACAGGAAACTTCTGCAATGTCTAATAGATAGCCGAGATTGTATGTCATTACTTTTCACAGGCGAAGGAAAGTCTCTTCCGTTGCAAAGGATTATCCCTTTTGAAAGAAACAGTCGTACAATCCGTAACTGTCGTTAGGAATATCCCGTGTTAGCTATTTCGAGGTTGTATGATAAGAAAACACATTCCGACTGTCACTTTTACTATTTGGTAAGCGACATTCTGCTTGGCCGGATGAAAGGTCATTTTGACGTGACCTGTGATGGAATGTCCTCAGATCATTGTTTAGGCGGTAGCGAGAACGAGGATATGATTTTAACGAGATTAGGCAACGCATAGGGCTGGATTGTTGGGGAGTTTTGTAGGTTTTGCATGGATTTATTAATTTGTATTATTGATAAGGAATGTATCGCTTTTGGAAGCACCGACGCTCAGTTGTTCACTGATCAGAGTTGTGTCCCTTAGATATGCCAGAAACCATGGTCGTTTCCAAATAAATCTATGTATTATGCGTCAGTTCTCGTCGCGATATGGCTGAAATATTGCCGATGTGACGTTAAAGTGAAATTGGGTTTAACGTCGCGTCCAAGATTATTGCAGTCATATGGCGACGTGTGTGTGTGTGTGTGTGTGTGTGTGTGTGTGTGTGTGTGTCTGTGTGGCTGCTTGTACTAGTCCGGACTGATGCCGATTTATAGTGCTAGCTCACTGAGGTATCATGCCGCAGTTTAACATGAATACCCCACTCAGACTCAGTATATTGACTCTGAGCCGACCAGTCCTTGTTTTAGCCCCTTAATGCCGAGCGCCAGACAGGGTAACAACAAGTACCATCTTTTTAACGTCTTTTGGTATGACGCGGCCGGGGATCGAACCCCGACAGATCCTCCCTCAATATGTAACGTACGATTACTGTCACAGTGGGATGAATGACCAAGATACGAGACAGGGGGAACTAGGCACTACAACAGAACCGGCGTTATGTTTTCTATGGATGGGAGATAAGGGTAGCTGGTGTGAAACATGGCACTGTGCATTTTGATGCGGAACATATTCATCTGGGATTTAAGGAGGACATGTAAAACACGCTTATTTTAAAGTGGACAGAGTAGATGACAGGATTTCGTTGATATTTTGATGTTGTGATCCATAAATGGCCGAGTAGCTGTTGATAGACTTACACAGCATCTGGCGACATGGTGCCAAGCTGTCCGTAAGTTCACTCAGTTCAATATCGGACACAGGATCAGCTCGCCGGGTAAGTTTCTTGATTCCTTATATGTTAAATGACTTGATGGTTTGATTTCAAAACCTCCCTCAGTTTAGCAAAGTGCACCGATTTCGGGAGCAGATGCTGGTAATCATTTCGATTGAAGGTAACGCTCTATGCTGCCCTCGATCCCATTAAAAGTAGACAGTTCGTATTCTGAACCATCTAATTTGCGGGTCGAAATAAAAAACAATTGCAAAGAATAATGTTTAGTTCACTGGGGCCAATTTCTTCTCATTTTAGCTTTCCTGTATAAATTTGTGAATTCATGTCAAGTTTACTCCTATTCATTGTTTTTTTTATATTTTCATTGGTAGTGTTGATCGTGTTGGCGCACGAGGAACAGTTTCTGGATACACTCGCAATATGAATATTGGAACTTCAATCTGGCCGTATGCAGTTTTAAAGACATCACATGTTTAGGAGTTAAGGTATACGAATAACGCTCCCTGTCAGATCTCCGTTCACTTTAACGGGGTCATTTACTTTGACAGGTGTCAAATGGTCAGACATGTGTGTTTACATACAACGCAGACGTTGTTTTGTTTTTTGTTTATTGCGTTGATTGTAAACTGAAAATCAGGTGAAATAAATGCTTTGTTGATTATAATATAAAATCATGTCGTTGATATGAAACTATATGTCTTGTCTTAAAATCTCTAGTCAGTGCATCATATTTATTTGAGGCTAATTATGAGCGACGACTTATAACATAAATATCACAAGAGGCATTCTGTGTAATCCTCATTTCAGGATGTCAAGTGGGCTAGTTATTTATGTTATTATCTTTGGGTATCCTATGAGGTCATCAAGTAAAAATAGTGCCCATGTACCCCTTCTCCTCCGTGAGGGCCCGTGAAGATCCGGGATAGAATAAGTCTTCAGCAACCCATGCTTGCCGTAAAAGGCGACTATGCTTGTCGTAAGAGGCTACTAACGGGATCGGGTGGTCAGGCTCGCTGACTTGGTTGATGCATGTCATCGATCCCAATTGCGTGGATCGATGCTCATGATATTAATCACTGGATTGTCTGGTCCAGACTCGAATATTTACAGACCGCTGTCATATAGCTGGAATATTGCTGAGTGCGGCGTTAAACAACAAAACAACCAACCAACCAACCTCCGTGAGCGTAACAATGTCTAAGATGATATGCGGAAGGTATGTTCCCCGTGAAACACGACGCTCATACAATTTGGCCCTCACTCTTTAAAGAGTGCTGTATTGCGGAACAACATAGTTACTCAAAAGGAAGGGCAACATGAGCGTACGTATGATCAACGTGCTCTACAGGAACATCAGTTGTGATTTGTTCACAACTAATGTATTCAAACAATATCATCAATGAACGAGAAATGTCTGTTAAGAACTCCCTTAGTACGTCAGTCACGATACATTTATATTTACAATACGTCGTAATACATTTACATCAAGCACAAGACGTGAAAAGGGCCGACACGATAAACGTGACGGGAGAGATTTCCGAAGTTGTTCATGAACCTGTGCCGGTTACATGTATTAGTTATTATTGATCATTTGCCCGATCATTGAAGGGTTATTATAAAAATGTGTCAAACAGATGCTAAGATAAATTCGTAGATTGCTGTAGACTGTATATGTCGGTCTAGACACGGATGGAGACGAACTACGATAGTTTGGGTGTGCATGTCTAGGGTCTAAATGATAGAAAACAACGCTTGTTTATATATTCGTGCTGGTGAATTCCCAGGGTTTTCCCCCGGAATGTGGAAGTAGTCCGAAAGTGTTACTGTCATTTCAAAAATATAGTCTAGTCGTGAAAAACGTTTGGCCGTCAAACTGTGTCAGTCATACACTTACGAACGTCAATTTCGCAGTCATGTTACTAACGTCTCGTCAAATGGAAAAGCCTTGTATCGTGTAAACTTCACATTTATAACAAATATAACAACCCGAACCTTAGAGTACATTAATTCTCGTCATGCATCCATCTGGTGATACAACAAAATGCCATTTTCTGTACTTATTCATTCCTTGTAATTTGGCAAAATAATTACAACTTCTAAGATGGATTTTGCCCTTCCACACGATACCAATGTTAATATCATCGGCGACACCTCCTTTGATAAGAAATCAATTTTGTTTTTGGGGTGTTGTGATGTTTAGAAGCAGTTAGCAATGTGCAAGCCTTTTTCAAGTCTTTATCATTTGCGCTTTTGTGTGGGGGTGTGCGGATGTACACCACGTAACAAGGAGAAAGCTCAACGTTGATGCTTACAGTTTGTTACATTTGTGTTGGGTAATCTCACCAGGAATAGCTGTTTGTACTTTGAAACTATGATCACTTTATCCCATTATAAAGTAGAATTTCGAAGGAGGATGGCAACAAAATGTACAAAAACATCTCTAACGACAGAGGGGCGGTCGGGTAGCCTAGTGGTTAAAGCGTTCGCTCGTCACGCCGAAGACCCGGTATCGATTCCCGACATGGGTACAATGTGTGAAGCCCATTTCTGGTGTCCCCCGCCGTGATATTGCTGGAATATTGCTAAAAGCGGCGTAAAACCATACTCACTCACTTACTCTAACGACAGAAGTTGAAAAGTGATCATAATGCATGAAGTCGCGTTTTGCTTTTCTTTCTTCTGTGATTGTAGTAGCGATTTTGAATCACTTTGCATTAGAATTTAAGAAGTTCCAAATGATCAACAGAAAGACGTTGATTCATTATTACAGTTTTCTAAGTTTCTAAATTTCGGTTTGGTACATTTGAAATAAACATCCTAAATGCATTAACGTTTGACCGATCGATATCATGGATAGAAAGGGGCACTGACGAGGCTTCAAGTTTCTGCAAGATGTCCAGGATAAAAATGAATATATCTAAAAAAATGTTCCCTGGATCGTTTAAGTAATTGCCATTGAAATAACAGAATCGATATCAATTTGACCTTCATGACAATAGTTTTTCAACTTATTGTATAAGTTATGTATTTCTAACAAACAATATGAAGTCAGAGTAAGCTGCAGAATATTTATTCAATGTGATTGACATGATTTTTAACTGATTCCAATCATCAGGTTTCCTCGTGTCCGTTCACCACAATCCGGATATCGATTTTCCGTTGGCTGCACACTGGAAAAGAAAACATATTATTTCTGAAGTTTTGAACTGCATTTCAGTTATATCCTAGCATGTCAGCTTGATGTAGCTGGAATAGGGAAACAAGCACTAAGTGATGCAGGCCTCAGAGCAGGCACGGTGCTGACAAACCTAGAAACAAAATGTGGGCAAAGTCGCGGCGCCCTTGATCATTGGGCATTGGTAGATCTCAATAGCATTGTCGTCAGTAAACGTGGTTAAGATACTAACGTTGATTTGATGCGACCTGAAATAAAGTAAAAGTCCCTACAGTTGTCAAGATGACATTGTTTGATAAAATTAATGATAACTTTGACACCTTTAAGATGATACGTATATCTCTTCTTTTGTTCAGTATTCTTAAAATACAAAAAAAAACTGGAATGAACATGTGGGTTATCATTTCTTTCGGTAGATTATATCAAATTATACTCCTTGTCTTGTGGTTACACAAAATAACCTAACTTCACTACAGAGGTATCGAAGGTCAGTATATGATTCTTAGTATTAATTTAGATACCCATGGGTGTATTAGAGGTGGTTCATACCAGAGACCACAAAAGACGACTTGTGTGTCCAAATGATTGATTAGAAACCGAAAAGAACTAACATCATTCGTGACAGATATTCTCCGCATTCTTGACTATCCGTCGTTTTGTTACACTTTGATGGCCTTAAAGTATAAACAACATATTTTGTTCAATAGTTCCATGCATAATCTCCAACAGTATATGACCTTTGAAATTACCTCCAATAATAAATGTCTGTTTGAAATGTAAGTTTGTAGGTTTGCATTTGTAATTTGGATAACTTATGTGCAAGTGTTATCTAATGTATACGTGTAGTGTCTGATACATAAACGTTTCCATTTCTAGCGTCCAATCTGCTTGCAAGTGCCTCCATTGCGGCAACGTCTTTTATGACACCGACCTTGGCGAAAACAAGAGCAAAAGGTGCTTGTCATTAATATTACTGATTGTGTTAATTCATCTTACAACAGACTGCAGGTCCATAATATCAGTCACGGGCATGTTCATGCTCACTGGTAAAGTAATACCTTGGCCAGGGCATTGACGTATTTGTCTTGTCGTTGAGATTCATGTAAAGAGCATTAATTACATTTTCCTTCAATAATCATTTAAACATATTTTAATGACTACACTGTAAGTGGATTCCACCTCGACAGAACACATCTCCATTTATTACTGTTAGGTTGGTAAAATTAATACCTATATCGACACAACGCGCGCCCGCGTGCGTTAGTGCGTATAGTCGTTGAGAAGCATGTTAAATACAATTATTTAGATTTTCTCTTACTAATAATCTTTTTCATGGCATTTTTGTTATACATTATGAAAAAGGCAGTGTGTGTACATCCCTTTAGAAAGTACAACTAACCCACATTACAAAAGACGGCAAGACATTTCTTAGTATTTGCAATGTATATTTTAAATAGATGACAAATTGGAAGGTATTTGTTGATCAACTCATCTGATGGCCTACAGACATTAAATTCCAAACATCAAATATATATACATGTTTTCATTAATTGCGTTGCACAATCTCAAAAAGTATATGACCTTTGAAATTACCTTTCATAACATATGTCTGTTTGAAATGATCACCTTTCGTAATTTTACATATAAAATTGGGATAACTTGTTCAACAAACAGAAGTAAATATTTCTTCCATTACATTAGGAAGCAATGCCTAGAATGTTCATCACTTTTTTACATCTGTAAACTTTGGGGAATCAATATAGTTAATGGAAGAATGCCTGGGGGCAGTGAGGGGTGTTTTACGTTTATCGTTCACCTATTCTCAGTTTCTAAAACATGGACACGGACACTTACCTATTCTCCTTTTACATGTCCTGCCTCTAAATCCACGTCGGCATAAACATCTCCACCTGAAGCGTCCAATCTGCTTGCATTTGCCTCCATTGCGGCAACGTCTTCTATGACACCAGCCTTGGCGATAACAAGAGCAAAATTTGCTTACTTTCATATTACAGATTGTGTTATTTCAACTTACAACATACTGCAGTCGCGGGCATGTTCATGCTCACTGATAAAGTGATACCTTGGCTTGGGCACCGATGTATTTGTCTAGTCGTTCAATAATCATTTCAACATATTTTAATGACTACAGAGTAAAACAGTGGATTCCACTTCGACAGAACACGTGTTCACTTATTACCGTTCGGACGGCAAAATTAATTCATGTACTTCCACAACGTATTTTCTACGTGGATTCCTCCTTTTTTGGTAAAATGGAGGAAACGATAAATACATAAGAATTCCTGTTCTCTCAATCTGTATAATACTGTATTTCCACGTTGGAATACAATCACGGACATCTTTATATTTTAACCAAACTTCTATTTGGTAGTATGTACTTGTGAACACTGACGTGTGCGCGCGCGTGCGTGCGTGCGTGCGTGCGTGCGTGCGTGCGTGCGTGCGTTCGTGCGTGTGTGTGGGTGGGTGGTTGTTGAGAAGCGTGTTAATTGCAATTATTTAGATGTCCCATTGCCAATAATTAAAAATCTTTTTCATGACACCATTGATATCCACTATGAAAAATGCAGCGTGTTTACATCCCCTTGGAAAGTACAACTAACCCACAATACAAAAGACGGCAAGACATTTTTCATTATTTGCAATGTTTATTTTAAATAGATGAAACATTGTAAGGCATTTGTTGTTCAACTAATATTTTATGGCCTTCAAACATTAAATATTATACATTTTTTCATTAATTGCGTTGCATTATCTCAAACAGTATATGACCTTTGCAATTACCTCTAATAAAACATGTCTGTTTGAAATGATTTCCTTTTCTAAGTTTACATTTAAATTGGGATAACTTGTGTGCAAGTGTTATGTAATGTATACATGTAGCATTTTATATACACATTTTCATTCACACTGGATTGATGGTATGGCACTATTCGTATGTTTTGTCAGTCTCTGAATGTGTAATAATGATGATGACAGTACGAACTTACCTTACACAATCATAACGAAACTAATCGTATACAATTATGTTCAATATTTGACTAATCTCAACTTGTACATGCCATTTTGAAATGATCACCTATCCTCAGTTTATAAAACATGGACCCGAACACTTACCAACACTCTGCTGACATCTCCTGCCTCTGAATCCACGTCGACATAAACATCTCCATCTGAAGAGTCCAATCCGCTTGCAAATGCCTCCATTGAGGCAACGTCTTCTAGGACACCCACCTTGGCGAAAACAAGAGCAAAAGGTGCTTACATATGTAATGTATTCATGTAGCGTCTTTTAAACAATTTATTATTTACACTGTATTTTATGGCACTATTCGTATCTGTTTTGTCATTCATTGTATGTGGAATACATGATGATGAAAGTACGAACTTACCTTACACAATCATAACGGAACTTATTGTATAAAACAATGTTGAATTAATGGCTAATCTCAACTTGATCATGCCATCTTGAAATGATCACCTATTCTCAGTTTATTAAACATGGACCCGAACACTTACCTACTCTCCTTTTACATCTCCTGCCTCTGAATCCACGTCGACAAAAACATCTCCATCTCCAGCGTCCAATCTGCTTGCAAGTGCCTCCATTGCGGCAACGTCTTCTATGGCACCGACCTTGGCCTATAAAAGAGCAAAAGGTGTTTACATTACAGATTGTGTTAATTCAACTTACAGCATACTGCAGGTCCATAATATCAGTCAAGGGCATGTTCATGTGGTTGTTGAGAAGCGTGTTAATTGCAATTATTTAGATGTCCCATTGCCAATAATTAAAAATCTTTTTCATGACACCATTGATATCCACTATGAAAAATGCAGCGTGTTTACATCCCCTTGGAAAGTACAACTAACCCACAATACAAAAGACGGCAAGACATTTTTCATGATTTGCAATGTTTATTTTAAATAGATGAAACATTGTAAGGCATTTGTTGTTCAACTAATATTTTATGGCCTTCAAACATTAAATATTATACATTTTTTTCATTAATTGCGTTGCATTATCTCAAACAGTATATGACCTTTGCAATTACCTCTAATAAAACATGTCTGTTTGAAATGATTTCCTTTTCTAAGTTTACATTTAAATTGGGATAACTTGTGTGCAAGTGTTATGTAATGTATACATGTAGCATTTTATATACACATTTTTATTCACACTGGATTGATAGTATGGCACTATTCGTATCTGTTTTGTCAGTCTCTGAATGAGTAATAATGATGATGACAGTACGAACTTACCTTACACAATCATAACGAAACTAATCGTATACAACTATGTTCAATATTTGACTAATCTCAACTTGTACATGCCATTTTGAAATGATCACCTATCCTCAGTTTATAAAACATGGACCCGAACACTTACCAAAACTCTGCTGACATCTCCTGCCTCTGAATCCACGTCGACATAAGCATCTCCATCTGAAGAGTCCAATCCGCTTGCAAGTGCCTCCATTGCGGCAACGTCCTCTGGGACACCCACCTTGGCGAAAACAAGAGAAAAAGGTGCTTACATATGTAATGTATTCATGTAGCGTCTGTTAAACAATTTATTATTTACACTGAATTTTATGGCACTATTCGTATCTGTTTTGTCATTCATTGTATGTCGAATACATGATGATGAAAGTACGAACTTACCTTACACAATAATAATGCGTATCTGTTTTGTCAGTCTCTGAATGTGTAATACATGATGATGACAGTACGAACCTACCTTACACAATCATAACGAAACTAATCGTATACAACTATGTTCAATATTTGACTAATCTCAACTTGTACATGCCATTTTGAAATGATCACCTATTCTCAGTTTTTAAAACATGGACCCGGACACTTACCAACACCCTTCTGACATCTCCTGCCTCTGAATCCACGTCGACATAAGCATCTCCATCTGAAGAGTCCAATCCGCTTGCAAGTGCCTCCATTGCGGCAACGTCCTCTGGGACACCCACCTTGGCGAAAACAAGAGAAAAAGGTGCTTACATATGTAATGTATTCATGTAGCGTCTGTTAAACAATTTATTATTTACACTGAATTTTATGGCACTATTCGTATCTGTTTTGTCATTCATTGTATGTCGAATACATGATGATGAAAGTACGAACTTACCTTACACAATAATAATGCGTATCTGTTTTGTCAGTCTCTGAATGTGTAATACATGATGATGACAGTACGAACCTACCTTACACAATCATAACGAAACTAATCGTATACAACTATGTTCAATATTTGACTAATCTCAACTTGTACATGCCATTTTGAAATGATCACCTATTCTCAGTTTTTAAAACATGGACCCGGACACTTACCAACACCCTTCTGACATCTCCTGCCTCTGAATCCACGTCGACATAAGCATCTCCATCTGAAGAGTCCAATCCGCTTGCAAGTGCCTCCATTGCGGCAACGTCCTCTGGGACACCCACCTTGGCGAAAACAAGAGAAAAAGGTGCTTACATATGTAATGTATTCATGTAGCGTCTGTTAAACAATTTATTATTTACACTGAATTTTATGGCACTATTCGTATCTGTTTTGTCATTCATTGTATGTCGAATACATGATGATGAAAGTACGAACTTACCTTACACAATAATAATGCGTATCTGTTTTGTCAGTCTCTGAATGTGTAATACATGATGATGACAGTACGAACCTACCTTACACAATCATAACGAAACTAATCGTATACAACTATGTTCAATATTTGACTAATCTCAACTTGTACATGCCATTTTGAAATGATCACCTATTCTCAGTTTTTAAAACATGGACCCGGACACTTACCAACACCCTTCTGACATCTCCTGCCTCTGAATCCACGTCGACATAAGCATCTCCATCTGAAGAGTCCAATCCGCTTGCAAGTGCCTCCATTGCGGCAACGTCCTCTGGGACACCCACCTTGGCGAAAACAAGAGAAAAAGGTGCTTACATATGTAATGTATTCATGTAGCGTCTGTTAAACAATTTATTATTTACACTGAATTTTATGGCACTATTCGTATCTGTTTTGTCATTCATTGTATGTCGAATACATGATGATGAAAGTACGAACTTACCTTACACAATAATAATGCGTATCTGTTTTGTCAGTCTCTGAATGTGTAATACATGATGATGACAGTACGAACCTACCTTACACAATCATAACGAAACTAATCGTATACAACTATGTTCAATATTTGACTAATCTCAACTTGTACATGCCATTTTGAAATGATCACCTATTCTCAGTTTTTAAAACATGGACCCGGACACTTACCAACACCCTTCTGACATCTCCTGCCTCTGAATCCACGTCGACATAAGCATCTCCATCTGAAGAGTCCAATCCGCTTGCAAGTGCCTCCATTGCGGCAACGTCCTCTGGGACACCCACCTTGGCGAAAACAAGAGAAAAAGGTGCTTACATATGTAATGTATTCATGTAGCGTCTGTTAAACAATTTATTATTTACACTGAATTTTATGGCACTATTCGTATCTGTTTTGTCATTCATTGTATGTCGAATACATGATGATGAAAGTACGAACTTACCTTACACAATAATAATGCGTATCTGTTTTGTCAGTCTCTGAATGTGTAATACATGATGATGACAGTACGAACCTACCTTACACAATCATAACGAAACTAATCGTATACAACTATGTTCAATATTTGACTAATCTCAACTTGTACATGCCATTTTGAAATGATCACCTATTCTCAGTTTTTAAAACATGGACCCGGACACTTACCAACACCCTTCTGACATCTCCTGCCTCTGAATCCACGTCGACATAAGCATCTCCATCTGAAGAGTCCAATCCGCTTGCAAGTGCCTCCATTGCGGCAACGTCCTCTGGGACACCCACCTTGGCGAAAACAAGAGAAAAAGGTGCTTACATATGTAATGTATTCATGTAGCGTCTGTTAAACAATTTATTATTTACACTGAATTTTATGGCACTATTCGTATCTGTTTTGTCATTCATTGTATGTCGAATACATGATGATGAAAGTACGAACTTACCTTACACAATAATAATGCGTATCTGTTTTGTCAGTCTCTGAATGTGTAATACATGATGATGACAGTACGAACCTACCTTACACAATCATAACGAAACTAATCGTATACAACTATGTTCAATATTTGACTAATCTCAACTTGTACATGCCATTTTGAAATGATCACCTATTCTCAGTTTTTAAAACATGGACCCGGACACTTACCAACACCCTTCTGACATCTCCTGCCTCTGAATCCACGTCGACATAAGCATCTCCATCTGAAGAGTCCAATCCGCTTGCAAGTGCCTCCATTGCGGCAACGTCCTCTGGGACACCCACCTTGGCGAAAACAAGAGAAAAAGGTGCTTACATATGTAATGTATTCATGTAGCGTCTGTTAAACAATTTATTATTTACACTGAATTTTATGGCACTATTCGTATCTGTTTTGTCATTCATTGTATGTCGAATACATGATGATGAAAGTACGAACTTACCTTACACAATAATAATGCGTATCTGTTTTGTCAGTCTCTGAATGTGTAATACATGATGATGACAGTACGAACCTACCTTACACAATCATAACGAAACTAATCGTATACAACTATGTTCAATATTTGACTAATCTCAACTTGTACATGCCATTTTGAAATGATCACCTATTCTCAGTTTTTAAAACATGGACCCGGACACTTACCAACACCCTTCTGACATCTCCTGCCTCTGAATCCACGTCGACATAAGCATCTCCATCTGAAGAGTCCAATCCGCTTGCAAGTGCCTCCATTGCGGCAACGTCCTCTGGGACACCCACCTTGGCGAAAACAAGAGAAAAAGGTGCTTACATATGTAATGTATTCATGTAGCGTCTGTTAAACAATTTATTATTTACACTGAATTTTATGGCACTATTCGTATCTGTTTTGTCATTCATTGTATGTCGAATACATGATGATGAAAGTACGAACTTACCTTACACAATAATAATGCGTATCTGTTTTGTCAGTCTCTGAATGTGTAATACATGATGATGACAGTACGAACCTACCTTACACAATCATAACGAAACTAATCGTATACAACTATGTTCAATATTTGACTAATCTCAACTTGTACATGCCATTTTGAAATGATCACCTATTCTCAGTTTTTAAAACATGGACCCGGACACTTACCAACACCCTTCTGACATCTCCTGCCTCTGAATCCACGTCGACATAAGCATCTCCATCTGAAGAGTCCAATCCGCTTGCAAGTGCCTCCATTGCGGCAACGTCCTCTGGGACACCCACCTTGGCGAAAACAAGAGAAAAAGGTGCTTACATATGTAATGTATTCATGTAGCGTCTGTTAAACAATTTATTATTTACACTGAATTTTATGGCACTATTCGTATCTGTTTTGTCATTCATTGTATGTCGAATACATGATGATGAAAGTACGAACTTACCTTACACAATAATAATGCGTATCTGTTTTGTCAGTCTCTGAATGTGTAATACATGATGATGACAGTACGAACCTACCTTACACAATCATAACGAAACTAATCGTATACAACTATGTTCAATATTTGACTAATCTCAACTTGTACATGCCATTTTGAAATGATCACCTATTCTCAGTTTTTAAAACATGGACCCGGACACTTACCAACACCCTTCTGACATCTCCTGCCTCTGAATCCACGTCGACATAAGCATCTCCATCTGAAGAGTCCAATCCGCTTGCAAGCGCCTCCATTGCGGCAACGTCCTCTGGGACACCCACCTTGGCGAAAACAAGAGAAAAAGGTGCTTACATATGTAATGTATTCATGTAGCGTCTGTTAAACAATTTATTATTTACACTGAATTTTATGGCACTATTCGTATCTGTTTTGTCATTCATTGTATGTCGAATACATGATGATGAAAGTACGAACTTACCTTACACAATAATAATGCGTATCTGTTTTGTCAGTCTCTGAATGTGTAATACATGATGATGACAGTACGAACCTACCTTACACAATCATAACGAAACTAATCGTATACAACTATGTTCAATATTTGACTAATCTCAACTTGTACATGCCATTTTGAAATGATCACCTATTCTCAGTTTTTAAAACATGGACCCGGACACTTACCAACACCCTTCTGACATCTCCTGCCTCTAAATCCACGTCGACATAAGCATCTCCATCTGAAGAGTCCAATCCGCTTGCAAGTGCCTCCATTGCGGCAACGTCCTCTGGGACACCCACCTTGGCGAAAACAAGAGAAAAAGGTGCTTACATATGTAATGTATTCATGTAGCGTCTGTTAAACAATTTATTATTTACACTGAATTTTATGGCACTATTCGTATCTGTTTTGTCATTCATTGTATGTCGAATACATGATGATGAAAGTACGAACTTACCTTACACAATAATAATGCGTATCTGTTTTGTCAGTCTCTGAATGTGTAATACATGATGATGACAGTACGAACCTACCTTACACAATCATAACGAAACTAATCGTATACAACTATGTTCAATATTTGACTAATCTCAACTTGTACATGCCATTTTGAAATGATCACCTATTCTCAGTTTTTAAAACATGGACCCGGACACTTACCAACACCCTTCTGACATCTCCTGCCTCTGAATCCACGTCGACATAAGCATCTCCATCTGAAGAGTCCAATCCGCTTGCAAGTGCCTCCATTGCGGCAACGTCCTCTGGGACACCCACCTTGGCGAAAACAAGAGAAAAAGGTGCTTACATATGTAATGTATTCATGTAGCGTCTGTTAAACAATTTATTATTTACACTGAATTTTATGGCACTATTCGTATCTGTTTTGTCATTCATTGTATGTCGAATACATGATGATGAAAGTACGAACTTACCTTACACAATAATAATGCGTATCTGTTTTGTCAGTCTCTGAATGTGTAATACATGATGATGACAGTACGAACCTACCTTACACAATCATAACGAAACTAATCGTATACAACTATGTTCAATATTTGACTAATCTCAACTTGTACATGCCATTTTGAAATGATCACCTATTCTCAGTTTTTAAAACATGGACCCGGACACTTACCAACACCCTTCTGACATCTCCTGCCTCTGAATCCACGTCGACATAAGCATCTCCATCTGAAGAGTCCAATCCGCTTGCAAGTGCCTCCATTGCGGCAACGTCCTCTGGGACACCCACCTTGGCGAAAACAAGAGAAAAAGGTGCTTACATATGTAATGTATTCATGTAGCGTCTGTTAAACAATTTATTATTTACACTGAATTTTATGGCACTATTCGTATCTGTTTTGTCATTCATTGTATGTCGAATACATGATGATGAAAGTACGAACTTACCTTACACAATAATAATGCGTATCTGTTTTGTCAGTCTCTGAATGTGTAATACATGATGATGACAGTACGAACCTACCTTACACAATCATAACGAAACTAATCGTATACAACTATGTTCAATATTTGACTAATCTCAACTTGTACATGCCATTTTGAAATGATCACCTATTCTCAGTTTTTAAAACATGGACCCGGACACTTACCAACACCCTTCTGACATCTCCTGCCTCTGAATCCACGTCGACATAAGCATCTCCATCTGAAGAGTCCAATCCGCTTGCAAGTGCCTCCATTGCGGCAACGTCCTCTGGGACACCCACCTTGGCGAAAACAAGAGAAAAAGGTGCTTACATATGTAATGTATTCATGTAGCGTCTGTTAAACAATTTATTATTTACACTGAATTTTATGGCACTATTCGTATCTGTTTTGTCATTCATTGTATGTCGAATACATGATGATGAAAGTACGAACTTACCTTACACAATAATAATGCGTATCTGTTTTGTCAGTCTCTGAATGTGTAATACATGATGATGACAGTACGAACCTACCTTACACAATCATAACGAAACTAATCGTATACAACTATGTTCAATATTTGACTAATCTCAACTTGTACATGCCATTTTGAAATGATCACCTATTCTCAGTTTTTAAAACATGGACCCGGACACTTACCAACACCCTTCTGACATCTCCTGCCTCTGAATCCACGTCGACATAAGCATCTCCATCTGAAGAGTCCAATCCGCTTGCAAGTGCCTCCATTGCGGCAACGTCCTCTGGGACACCCACCTTGGCGAAAACAAGAGAAAAAGGTGCTTACATATGTAATGTATTCATGTAGCGTCTGTTAAACAATTTATTATTTACACTGAATTTTATGGCACTATTCGTATCTGTTTTGTCATTCATTGTATGTCGAATACATGATGATGAAAGTACGAACTTACCTTACACAATAATAATGCGTATCTGTTTTGTCAGTCTCTGAATGTGTAATACATGATGATGACAGTACGAACCTACCTTACACAATCATAACGAAACTAATCGTATACAACTATGTTCAATATTTGACTAATCTCAACTTGTACATGCCATTTTGAAATGATCACCTATTCTCAGTTTTTAAAACATGGACCCGGACACTTACCAACACCCTTCTGACATCTCCTGCCTCTGAATCCACGTCGACATAAGCATCTCCATCTGAAGAGTCCAATCCGCTTGCAAGTGCCTCCATTGCGGCAACGTCCTCTGGGACACCCACCTTGGCGAAAACAAGAGAAAAAGGTGCTTACATATGTAATGTATTCATGTAGCGTCTGTTAAACAATTTATTATTTACACTGAATTTTATGGCACTATTCGTATCTGTTTTGTCATTCATTGTATGTCGAATACATGATGATGAAAGTACGAACTTACCTTACACAATAATAACGGAACTAAGTGTATAGAACAATGTTGAGTATATGGCTAATCGCAACATGATCATGCCATTTTGAAATGATCACCTATTCTCAGTTTATTGAACATGGACACGGCCACTTACCTACTTTCCTTTTACATCTCCTGCCTCTAAATCCACGTCGACAAAAACATCTCCATTTCCGGCGTCCAGTCTGCTTGCAAGTGCCTCCATTGCGGCAACGTCTTTTATGACACCAACCTTGGCCTAAACAAGAGCAAATGGTGTTTACATTACAGATTGTGTTAATTCAACTTACAACATACTGCAGTTCCATAATATCAGTCACGGGCATGTTCATGCTCACTGATAAAGTAATACCTTGGATTGGGCACTGAAGTATTTGTCTAGTCGTTGAGATGCATGTAAAGAGAATTATTTCAATTGTCCTTCAATAATCATTTCAACATATTTTAATGACTACAGAGTAAAACAGTGGATTCCACCTGGACAAAACATATCTTGAGTTATTACCGTTGGGTCGGCAAAATTAATTCATGTACTGCCACAACGTATTTTCTACTTGGATTCCTCCTTTTTGGTAAAATGGAGGATACGATAAATACAAAGCAATTCCTGTTCTCTCAATCTGTAAAATACTGTGTTTCCACGTTGGAATACAATCACGGACATCTTCATATTTTAACCAAACTTCTATTTGGTAGTATGTTCTTGTGAACACTGACGTATGCGTTTCTATCTGTGTGTGTGTGTGTGTGTGTGTGTGTGTGTGTGTGTGTGTGTGTGTGTGTGTGTGTGTGTGTGTGTGTGTGTGTGTGTGTGTGTGTGTGTGTGTGTGTGTGTGTGTATGTGAGTGTGTGTGTGTGTGTTTCTTAAGAAGGATGTTAATTGCAATTATTTAGATGTCCCATTGCAAGTTATTAAAAATCTTTTTAATCACACCATTGATATCCATTATGAAAAATGCAGCTTGTGTACATCCCCATGGAAATTACAACTAACCCACATTACAAAAGACGGCAAGTCATTTTTCATGATTTGCAATGTTTATTTTAAATAGATGAAACATTGTAAGGTATTTGTTGTTCAACTCATTTGATGGGCTACAAACATTAAACATATACACATTTTTTTCAGTAATTGCGTTGCGTTATCTGAAACAGTATATGACCTTTAGAAATTACCTGTAATAAAACATGTCTGTTTAAAAGGATTTCCTTTTGTAAGTTTACATTTAAAATTGGGATAACTTGTGTGCAAGTGTTATGTAATGTATACATGTAGCGTCTTATAAACATATTTACTCACACTGGATTGATAGAATGGCACTATTCGCATCTGTTTTGTCAGTCTCTGAATGTGTAATACATGATGATCACAGTACGAACCTACCTTACACAATCATAACGAAACTAATCGTATACAACTATGTTCAATATTTGACTAATCTCAACTTGTACATGCCATTTTGAAATGATCACCTATTCTCAGTTTTTAAAACATGGACCCGGACACTTACCAACACCCTTCTGACATCTCCTGCCTCTGAATCCACGTCGACATAAGCATCTCCATCTGAAGAGTCCAATCCGCTTGCAAGTGCCTCCATTGCGGCAACGTCCTCTGGGACACCCACCTTGGCGAAAACAAGAGAAAAAGGTGCTTACATATGTAATGTATTCATGTAGCGTCTGTTAAACAATTTATTATTTACACTGAATTTTATGGCACTATTCGTATCTGTTTTGTCATTCATTGTATGTGGAATACATGATGATGAAAGTACGAACTTACCTTACACAATAATAACGGAACTAAGTGTATAGAACAATGTTGAGTATATGGCTAATCGCAACATGATCATGCCATTTTGAAATGATCACCTATTCTCAGTTTATTGAACATGGACACGGCCACTTACCTACTTTCCTTTTACATCTCCTGCCTCTAAATCCACGTCGACAAAAACATCTCCATTTCCGGCGTCCAATCTGCTTGCAAGTGCCTCCATTGCGGCAACGTCTTTTATGACACCGACCTTGGCCTAAACAAGAGCAAATGGTGTTTACATTACAGATTGTGTTAATTCAACTTACAACATACTGCAGTTCCATAATATCAGTCACGGGCATGTTCATGCTCACTGATAAAGTAATACCTTGGATTGGGCACTGAAGTATTTGTCTAGTCGTTGAGATGCATGTAAAGAGAATTATTTCAATTGTCCTTCAATAATCATTTCAACATATTTTAATGACTACAGAGTAAAACAGTGGATTCCACCTGGACAAAACCTATATTGACTTATGACCGTTAGGTCGGCAAAATTAATTCATGTACTGCCACAACGTATTTTCTACTTGGATTCCTCCTTTTTGGTAAAATGGAGGATACGATAAATAAAAAGCAATTCCTGTTCTCTCAATCTGTAAAATACTGTGTTTCCACGTTGGAATACAATCACGGACATCTTCATATTTTAACCAAACTTCTATTTGGTAGTATGTTCTTGTGAACACTGACGTATGCGTTTCTATCTGTGTGTGTGTGTGTGTGTGTGTGTGTGTGTTTGTGTGTGTGTGTGTGTGTGTGTGTGTGTGTGTGTGTGTGTGTGTGTGTGTGTGTGTGTGTGTGTGTGTGTGTGTGTGTGTGTGTGTGTGTGTGTGTGTGTGTGTTTCTTAAGAAGCATGTTAATTGCAATTATTAAGATGTCCAAATGCAAGTTATTAAAAATCTTTTAAATCACACCATTGATATCCATTATGAAAAATGCAGCGTGTGTACATCCCCATGGAAATTACAACTAACCCACATTACAAAAGACGGCAAGTCATTTTTCATGATTTGCAATGTTTATTTTAAATAGATGAAACATTGTAAGGTATTTGTTGTTCAACTCATTTGATGGGCTACAAACATTAAACATATACACATTTTTTTCAGTAATTGCGTTGCATTATCTGAAACAGTATATGACCTTTAGAAATTACCTGTAATAAAACATGTCTGTTTAAAAGGATTTCCTTTTGTAAGTTTACATTTAAAATTGGGATAACTTGTGTGCAAGTGTTATGTAATGTATACATGTAGCGTCTTATAAACATATTAATTCACACTGGATTGATAGAATGGCACTATTCGTATCTGTTTTGTCAGTCTCTGAATGTGTAATACATGATGATGACAGTACGAACCTACCTTACACAATCATAACGAAACTAATCGTATACAACTATGTTCAATATTTGACTAATCTCAACTTGTACATGCCATTTTGAAATGATCACCTATTCTCAGTTTTTAAAACATGGACCCGGACACTTACCAACACCCTTCTGACATCTCCTGCCTCTGAATCCACGTCGACATAAGCATCTCCATCTGAAGAGTCCAATCCGCTTGCAAGTGCCTCCATTGCGGCAACGTCTTCTGGGACACCCACCTTGGCGAAAACAAGAGAAAAAGGTGCTTACATATGTAATGTATTCATGTAGCGTCTGTTAAACAATGTATTATTTACACTGAATTTTATGGCACTATTCGTATCTGTTTTGTCATTCATTGTATGTGGAATACATGATGATGAAAGTACGAACTTACCTTACACAATCATAACGGAACTAAGTGTATAGAACAATGTTGAGTATATGGCTAATCGCAACATGATCATGCCATTTTGAAATGATTACCTATTCTCAGTTTATTGAACATGGACACGGCCACTTACCTACTTTCCTTTTACATCTCCTGCCTCTGAATCCACGTCGACATAAACATCTCCATTTCCGGCGTCCAATCTGCTTGCAAGTGCCTCCATTGCGGCAACGTCTTTTATGACACCAACCTTGGCCAAAACAAGAGAAAAGGGTGCTTACATATGTAATGTATTCATGTAGCGTCTGTTAAACAATGTATTATTTACACTGAATTGTATGGCACTATTCGTATCTGTTTTGTCATTCATTGTATGTGGAATTCGTGATGATGAAAGTACGAACTTACCTTACAAAACTATAACGGAACTAAGTGAAAAGAACAATGTTGAGTGTATGGCTAATCGCAACTTGAACATGCCATTTTGAAATGATCACCTGTTCTCAGTTTATTAAACATGGACACGGACACGTACCTACTCTCAAAGTGAAAGTCAAAAGAAGTTCATTGTACAAAAGGCCTCCGGCCCATATACATGGTAGAAGAAAGAGTTAGGCATATAGATACAATCATAAATGTTACACATTGGGATATACACGTTGTTTGATTAATTCATTTCTTTTGGCTAATGCATGCTTAATATAAAGCGAAAGATTCAATATATTTGATTCGTTCTTTGTCATCAGCATAACTACAAAGGCGTTTATCGGTGACATTGCTATTAAATAATCTTTTATATATTTCTTTCAGAGATCATTGCGAAATGGACAGACGAACACAAAAGGAATTTCATTTTCTATCTCTAGATTACACAATGGACAAATTTATTTCCTTTGTTCAATGGACAGTTTTCTTTCTTCATTTACAAATAGGTCTAGCAAACCAAGTCGATATTTAATTAATTGTTTTCTTAAGTTTTCTGTAGTGAGTACTGATAAATTTATTTCTGGTTGAAGTAAAGTCTTGAAAGTTTTGTAATATTCATAACATGAACTATCCTCTAAAGTGGAGTGCCATTCTTGGTAGAACATACTTATAGACCGATTCCGAAATTCATTAAGAAACAGATTTACATTTCAAACTGACTGACATAGCCATATAAAACCAAAACCATGCGAAAATAAAAGATTTCTAATATGCGATGTCCAAGTATTCTTACCCATGTTATCTAAATGTAGAAGCATGTTATAGGCTAATTTGGGGAGACGTTGTTCATACATATCAAGAATTGTAAACCAGTATTTTAAACATCTGATCTGAGAGTTAATATATAATGGGTATCTACCACATTCACCATAAACCATGCAATTTGGTGTAGAAGATCCGACACACAGAAACTTTTTACATGCTAATAAGTGAACCTTCTCTAAGCAGTCATAACGTTGAAATCCCCATACTTCAGAACCATACAATAAGATTGGTTGTATCTGGGTATCAAAAAGCTTAAAGAAGATCTTATCACATTTTTTTCCAATTCATTGTGTGTAAGAACCAGATTCCTAAATATGAGTAGTGATCTACTATATTGACTAACTGGCCATCGCAGACCATCTCTCTTTCGACGCTATTGGACCACCTTTTCTGAAGATCACAATTTTAGTTTTTTTCAAATTTACTGATAATTTCCATTCTTTCGTGTATGTACATAAAATATGTGATTGCCTTTGTAGACCAACAACAGTATCTGACACTAGAATGACATCATCTGCGAAAAGTAACATTAATATTTCTATCAAATCTGGAAACATTGGGATACCATGTTTACCACTGGCAGCTATTTCGTAATATAATTCATCAATGAAAAATGAAAATAAGATCGGACTCAAAATACAGCCTTGTCTTAGGCCCAAAGGACAATCAAAGAAATATGTTAAAGCTATCCCCACAACGAACACATGATCTCACATTAGAATACATTGATTTTAGAATAGTAAACATTTTCCCACGTAAACCAGCTTTTCGCAGACATGTCCATAGCTTAAAGCGATTGACAGAATCGAAAGCCTTTTTAAAATCTACAAATGCTTCATACAGTTTATGCTTATGCCGTGACAAGGTTTTTTGAATAAGTGCATAAAGTGTAAATACATGATCTTCGGTCGAATAACTTTTTCTGAAGCCAGCTTGAAATTCGGGAATTTTATCACGCATGGTCGCCAATTTGGAAATTCTATTGTTTAATATTGTAGTAAATACTTTTCCTAAAATGAGGGTTACTTACTTACTTATATTGGAGATTTTACGTGCCCTTTCCGACTGCAGCGTATTTCGCACACGGGCCCGGCCAGGCCATTTAATGTGTTTCCGAAAGAGGGAAAAAGTTGTTTGGCAATCCAGTAGGGGTGTTTTAGTGGTTGTTTATATAGAATTTTGGAAACTTTGAGATTTGGAAAAAATGCCAAGAGGGTTTGGGGGGCGAACTAAGGGACCTGAGTATGGAAGTTTGTTAGTTTGATTATGTGGTTTGGTTTTGGTAGTTTATTGGGGTTTTAAATGCGATTTATTAGTCCTGTTTTGATTAAGTATACGCCTAAGGCTTTGAATTTTTCTATTTTATGTTGTGGGTTCAGGATTGCTTCTAGAGTAAGAGCCTTATTTAGATTTAGGGTGGTTTGTAGTGTAGTTCGGTGTGTTAGGTAGTAGGTGCAGTGTATGAGTGTGTGTTCTGGGGTTTCTTGTTGTTTGCAATGTGCAATAGGGACATGAAGCCAATAAACAGGATAAGTGATTATTGTTTGATGAGTTCATAGCAGGCGGATGGGATGAAATAGCCCTGATCTCTGTTGATTGATGGCTTGTGGCGGCAAATGTGGACTGCTTCTGCTAGTTTTCTTTTAGTGAAATCGTGGAGGCTGATTTGCTGTCGGATTTAATGGTGGAGGTTTTATGCTCTTTCATTCTGGCGGGATGTTTCACCTACGTAAGATTGTCCACAGTTGCAGTTCACCCCATCCGCCTACTATGAACTCATCAAACAATAATCACTTATCCTGTTTATTGGCTTCATGTCCCTATTGGCTTCCACCTTTATGTTCTCTGTCCATCGTGTTGTGACAGCATCATCTCTTTGTTGTCAACACATACCAATGTTATCCCACTCATGTATGCAATTGGTGTTACTGTTATTCCTCTATTGTTAATCATCCACCTACTATATATATTCTGAACTATGTCCCTCATTCAGTCTTTCTTGACAACGGTATAAGGATCTATACCGAAACGTCGCTTTTCACAGTATTAAAGAAGTTGTTATCCATAAAATTGTGTATATCTTGACTTCAACATTTCGATAACTACATCATCAGGACCAGCTGCTTTTCCCTTCTTGAGGTGATTTATCGCATCTAATATTTCGTTTTCAACAATGGGTGAATCTAGCAGAACTTCATCAACATCTGTGTCGCATTCACTAAAATATTTTTTGCATATCATCAGTTGCCATAGTGAATATGGCATCATTTGAAAAAAACTTCTTAAAATGACCAAGCCACTATGTTATCTGTAGCAGAGGATCTATTCTTAAGAGATCGTACTTGTTTCCAGAACGAAGAAGGGTTGTAAATACACTTTTTGAGTTTGTCTTGTCTATGTCTACGCATAACAAGTTTGTAAATCCGACAGCAACTTTTATATTTATTCCTACTTTCGCAATATTTCTTTCTGTCAAGACTATAGTACGGGCAGTCCTAAATCTTCGTAGTGCTCTGCGGGCGTTACGCCTTGCAATTCTACATCCAGTATTAAAAGTTTTAGATTTATACATGTTCAGTTTTAATTCTTTTCTCACACAAGCTGCTGAAACTTACCAACACTCTTCCGACATCTCCTGCCTCTGAATCCACGTCGACATAAACATCTCCATCTGAAGAGTCCGATCTGCTTGCAAGTGCCTCCATTGCGGCAAAGTCTTCTACGACACCGACCTTGGCGAAAACAAGAGCAAAAGGTGCTTGTCATAAATATTACTTATTGTGTTAATTCAATAGACTGCATTCATGCATTATTTAGATTTTCCTTCAATAATTGTAATCATTTCTGCATATTTTGAATGACCACAGTGTAAAACAGTGGATTCAACCTCGACAGAACACATTTCTATATATTACCATAAGGTCGGCAATATTAATACCTGGACTACCTCTACGTATTTTCTACTTGGATTCCTCCTTTGTTGATAACATTGAGGAAACGCTGAATACATCGCAATTCCTGTTTTCTCAATCTGTATAATACTGTATTTCCAAGTTGGAATATCATCACGGACATGTTCATATATTAACCAAACTTCTGTTTTGTAGTATTTTGGTGTGAACACTGACGTGTGTGTGTGTGTGTGCGTTCGTGCGTGTTGTCGTTGAGGGCCTACAAACATTAAATATATACATTTTTTTCATTAATTGCGTTGTATTTTCTCAAACAGTATGACCTTTGAAATTACCTCTAATAAATTATGTCTGTTTGAAAGGATTTCCTTTTGTAAGTTTTCATTTCAAATTGGGATAACTTGTGTGCAAGTGTGATGTAATGTGTACATGTAGTGTCTTATAAACACATATTTTATTCACACTGGATTGATAGTATGGCACTATTCGTATCTGTTTTGTCAGTCTCTGAATGTGTAATACATGATGATGACAGTACGAACTTACCTTACACAATTATAATGAAACTAATCGTACACAGCTATGTTCAATATTTGACTAATCTCAACTTGTACATGCCATTTTGAAATGATCACCTTTTCTCAGTTTCTAAAACATGGACACGGACACTTACCTACTTTCCTTTTACATGTCCTGCCACCGAATCCACGTCGACACAAACATCTCCATTTCGAGCGTCCAATCTGCCTGCAAGTGCCTCCATTACGGCAACGTCTTCTATGACACCGACCTTGGCGAAAACAAGAGAAAAAGGTGCTTGTCATTAATATTACTGATTGTGTTAATTCAACTTACAACAGGCTGCAGGTACATAATATCAGTCACAGGCTTGTCCATGCTCACTGATAAAGTAATACCTTGGCTTGGACACTGACGTATTTGTCTAGTCGATGGAATGTATGTAAAGAGCATTATATAGATATTCCTTCAATACTTTCAATCATTTCAGCATAGTTTAATGACTACAGTGTAAAAGAGTGGATTCCACCTCGACAGAACACATTTCTATATATTACCGTTAGGTCGGCAAAATTAATACCTGAACTACGACAACGTATTTTCTACGTGGATTACTCCTTTGTTGATAAAATGGAATAAACGCTGAATACATAGCAATTCCTGTTTTCTCAATATGTATAATACTGTATTTCCAAGTTGGAATACAACCACGGACATGTTCATATTGTAGCCAAACTTCTGTTTGGTAGTAATTTGGTGTGAACACTGACGTGTGTGTGTGTGTGTTCGTGCGTGTTATCGTTGAGGGCCTACAAACATTAAATATATACATTTTTTCATTAATTGCGGTGTATTATCTCAAACAGTATATAACTTTTGAAATTACCTCTAATAAAACATATCTCTTTGAAATGATTTCCTTTTGTAAGTTTACATTTCAAATTGGGATAACTTGTGTGCAAGTGTGATGTAATGTGTACATGTAGTGTCTTATAAACACATATTTTATTCACACTGGATTGATAGTATGGCACTATTCGTATCTGTTTTGTCAGTCTCTGAATGTGTAATACATGATGATGACAGTACGAACTTACCTTACACAATTATAATGAAACTAATCGTACACAGCTATGTTCAATATTTGACTAATCTCAACTTGTACATGCCATTTTGAAATGATCACCTTTTCTCAGTTTCTAAAACATGGACACGGACACTTACCTACTTTCCTTTTACATGTCCTGCCACCGAATCCACGTCGACACAAACATCTCCATTTCGAGCGTCCAATCTGCCTGCAAGTGCCTCCATTACGGCAACGTCTTCTATGACACCGACCTTGGCGAAAACAAGAGAAGAAGGTGCTTGTCATTAATATTACTGATTGTGTTAATTCAACTTACAACAGGCTGCAGGTACATAATATCAGTCACAGGCTTGTCCATGCTCACTGATAAAGTAATACCTTGGCTTGGACACTGACGTATTTGTCTAGTCGATGGAATGTATGTAAAGAGCATTATATAGATATTCCTTCAATACTTTCAATCATTTCAGCATAGTTTAATGACTACAGTGTAAAAGAGTGGATTCCACCTCGACAGAACACATTTCTATATATTACCGTTAGGTCGGCAAAATTAATACCTGAACTACGACAACGTATTTTCTACTTGGATTCCTCCTTTGTTGATAAAATGGAATAAACGCTGAATACATAGCAATTCCTGTTTTCTCAATATGTATAATACTGTATTTCCAAGTTGGAATACAACCACGGACATGTTCATATTGTAGCCAAACTTCTGTTTGGTAGTAATTTGGTGTGAACACTGACGTGTGTGTGTGTGTGTTCGTTCGTGCGTGTTATCGTTGAGGGCCTACAAACATTAAATATATACATTTTTTCATTAATTGCGGTGTATTATCTCAAACAGTATATAACTTTTGAAATTACCTCTAATAAAACATGTGTCTTTGAAATGATTTCCTTTTGTAGGTTTACATTTCAAACTGGGATAACTTGTGTGCAAGTGTGATGTAATGTGTACATGTAGCGTCTTATAAACACATATTTTATTCACACTGGATTGATAGTATGGCACTATTCGTATCTGTTTTGTCAGTCTCTGAATGTGTAATACATGATGATGACAGTACGAACTTACCTTACACAATTATAATGAAACTAATCGTACACAGCTATGTTCAATATTTGACTAATCTCAACTTGTACATGCCATTTTGAAATGATCACCTTTTCTCAGTTTCTAAAACATGGACACGGACACTTACCTACTTTCCTTTTACATGTCCTGCCACCGAATCCACGTCGACACAAACATCTCCATTTCGAGCGTCCAATCTGCCTGCAAGTGCCTCCATTACGGCAACGTCTTCTATGACACCGACCTTGGCGAAAACAAGAGAAAAAGGTGCTTGTCATTAATATTACTGATTGTGTTAATTCAACTTACAACATACTGCAGGTACATGATATCAGTCACGGGCATGTTAATGCTCACTGATAAAGTAATACCTTGGCTTGGGCACTGACGTATTTGTCTAGTCGATGGAATGTATGTAAAGAGCATTATATAGATATTCCTTCAATAATGTCAATCATTTCAGCATATTTTGATAACTACAGTGTAAAAGAGTGGACTCCACTTCGACAGAACACATTTCTATATATTACCGTTAGGTCGGCAAAATTAATACCTGAACTACCTCTACGTATTTTCTACTTGGATTCCACCTTTGTTGATAAAATGGAATAAACGCTGAATACATAGCAATTCCTGTTTATCTCAATATGTATAATACTGTTTCCAAGTTGGAATACAACCACGGACATGTTCATATTTTAACCAAACTTCTGTTTGGTAGTATTTTGGTGTGAACACTGACGTGTGTGTGTTCGTTCGTGCGTGTTGTCGTTCAGGGCCTACAAATATTAAATATAATTTTGTTTTCATTAATTGCGTTGCATTATCTCAAACAGTATATGACCTTTGAAATTACCTCTAATAAAACATGTCTCTTTGAAATGATTTCCTTTTGTAAGTTTACATTTCAAATTGGGATAACTTGTGTGCAAGTGTGATGTAATGTGTACATGTAGCGTCTGATAAAAACATTTTTTCATTCACGCTGAATGTTATGGCACTATTCGTATCTGTTTTGTCGTTCGTTGTATGTGTAATACATGATGATGAAAGTACGAACTTACCTTTCACAACACAGACACTTACCTACTCTCTTTTTACATCTCCTGCCCCCGAATCCACGTCGACACAAACACTTCCATTTCGAGCGTCCAATCTGCCTGCAAGTGCCTCCATTACGGCAACGTCTTCTATTACACCGACCTTGGCGAAAACAAGAGCAAAAGGTGCTTGTCATTGATATTACTGATTGTGTTAATTCAACTTACAACATACTGCAGGTACATAATATCAGTCACGGGCATGTTCATGCTCACTGATAAAGTAATACCTTGGCTTAGGCACTGACGTATTTTTCTAGTCGATTGGATGCATGTAAAGAGCATTATTTAGATTTTCTTTCAATAATTTCAATCATTTCAGCATATTTTAATGACTTCAGTGTAAAAAATCGGATTCCTTCTCGACAGAACACATTTCTATGTATTACCGTAAGGTCGGCAAAATTAATACCTGGACTACCTCTACATATTTTCTACTTGGATTCCTCCCTTGTTGATACAATTAAGGAAACGCTGAATATATAGCAATTCCTGTTTTCTCAATATGTATAATACTGTATTTCCACGTTGGAATACAGCCACGGACATGTTCATATTTTAAACAAACTTCTGTTTGGTAGTAATTTGGTGTGATCACTGACGTGTGTGTGTGTGTGTGCGTTCGTGCGTGTTGTCGTTGAGGGCCTACAAACATTAAATATATACATTTTTTTCATTAATTGCGTTGTATTTTCTCAAACAGTATGACCTTTGAAAATTACCTCTAATAAATTATGTCTGTTTGAAAGGATTTCCTTTTGTAAGTTTACATTTCAAATTGGGATAACTTGTGTGCAAGTGTGATGTAATGTGTACATGTAGTGTCTTATAAACACATATTTTATTCACACTGGATTGATAGTATGGCACTATTCGTATCTGTTTTGTCAGTCTCTGAATGTGTAATACATGATGATGACAGTACGAACTTACCTTACACAATTATAATGAAACTAATCGTACACAGCTATGTTCAATATTTGACTAATCTCAACTTGTACATGCCATTTTGAAATGATCACCTATTCTCAGTTTCTCAAACATGGACACGGACACTTACCTACTTTCCTTTTACATGTCCTGCCACCGAATCCACGTCGACACAAACATCTCCATTTCGAGCGTCCAATCTGCCTGCAAGTGCCTCCATTACGGCAACGTCTTCTATGACACCGACCTTGGCGAAAACAAGAGAAAAAGGTGCTTGTCATTAATATTACTGATTGTGTTAATTCAACTTACAACATACTGCAGGTACATAATATCAGTCACGGGCATGTTAATGCTCACTGATAAAGTAATACCTTGGCTTAGGCACTGACGTATTTTTCTAGTCGATTGGATGCATGTAAAGAGCATTATTTAGATTTTCTTTCAATAATTTCAATCATTTCAGCATATTTTAATGACTTCAGTGTAAAAAATCGGATTCCTTCTCGACAGAACACATTTCTATGTATTACCGTAAGGTCGGCAAAATTAATACCTGGACTACCTCTACATATTTTCTACTTGGATTCCTCCCTTGTTGATACAATTAAGGAAACGCTGAATACATAGCAATTCCTGTTTTCTCAATATGTATAATACTGTATTTCCACGTTGGAATACAGCCACGGACATGTTCATATTTTAAACAAACTTCTGTTTGGTAGTAATTTGGTGTGAACACTGACGTGTGTGTGTGTGTGTGAGCATTCGTGCGTGTTGTCGTTCAGGGCCTACAAACATTAAATATATACATTTTTTTCATTAATTGCGGTGTATTTTCTCAAACAGTATGACCTTTGAAATTACCTCTAATAAATTATGTCTGTTTGAAAGGATTTCCTTTTGTAAGTTTACATTTCAAATTGGGATAACTTGTGTGCAAGTGTGATGTAATGTATACATGTAGCGTCTGATAAAAACATTTTTTCATTCACGCTGAATGTTATGGCACTATTCGTATCTGTTTTGTCGTTCGTTGTATGTGTAATACATGATGATGAAAGTACGAACTTACCTTTCACAACACAGACACTTACCTACTCTCTTTTTACATCTCCTGCCCCCGAATCCACGTCGACACAAACACTTCCATTTCGAGCGTCCAATCTGCCTGCAAGTGCCTCCATTACGGCAACGTCTTCTATTACACCGACCTTGGCGAAAACAAGAGCAAAAGGTGCTTGTCATTGATATTACTGATTGTGTTAATTCAACTTACAACATACTGCAGGTACATAATATCAGTCACGGGCATGTTCATGCTCACTGATAAAGTAATACCTTGGCTTAGGCACTGACGTATTTTTCTAGTCGATTGGATGCATGTAAAGAGCATTATTTAGATTTTCTTTCAATAATTTCAATCATTTCAGCATATTTTAATGACTTCAGTGTAAAAAATCGGATTCCTTCTCGACAGAACACATTTCTATGTATTACCGTAAGGTCGGCAAAATTAATACCTGGACTACCTCTACATATTTTCTACTTGGATTCCTCCCTTGTTGATACAATTAAGGAAACGCTGAATATATAGCAATTCCTGTTTTCTCAATATGTATAATACTGTATTTCCACGTTGGAATACAGCCACGGACATGTTCATATTTTAAACAAACTTCTGTTTGGTAGTAATTTGGTGTGATCACTGACGTGTGTGTGTGTGTGTGCGTTCGTGCGTGTTGTCGTTGAGGGCCTACAAACATTAAATATATACATTTTTTTCATTAATTGCGTTGTATTTTCTCAAACAGTATGACCTTTGAAAATTACCTCTAATAAATTATGTCTGTTTGAAAGGATTTCCTTTTGTAAGTTTACATTTCAAATTGGGATAACTTGTGTGCAAGTGTGATGTAATGTGTACATGTAGTGTCTTATAAACACATATTTTATTCACACTGGATTGATAGTATGGCACTATTCGTATCTGTTTTGTCAGTCTCTGAATGTGTAATACATGATGATGACAGTACGAACTTACCTTACACAATTATAATGAAACTAATCGTACACAGCTATGTTCAATATTTGACTAATCTCAACTTGTACATGCCATTTTGAAATGATCACCTATTCTCAGTTTCTCAAACATGGACACGGACACTTACCTACTTTCCTTTTACATGTCCTGCCACCGAATCCACGTCGACACAAACATCTCCATTTCGAGCGTCCAATCTGCCTGCAAGTGCCTCCATTACGGCAACGTCTTCTATGACACCGACCTTGGCGAAAACAAGAGAAAAAGGTGCTTGTCATTAATATTACTGATTGTGTTAATTCAACTTACAACATACTGCAGGTACATAATATCAGTCACGGGCATGTTAATGCTCACTGATAAAGTAATACCTTGGCTTAGGCACTGACGTATTTTTCTAGTCGATTGGATGCATGTAAAGAGCATTATTTAGATTTTCTTTCAATAATTTCAATCATTTCAGCATATTTTAATGACTTCAGTGTAAAAAATCGGATTCCTTCTCGACAGAACACATTTCTATGTATTACCGTAAGGTCGGCAAAATTAATACCTGGACTACCTCTACATATTTTCTACTTGGATTCCTCCCTTGTTGATACAATTAAGGAAACGCTGAATACATAGCAATTCCTGTTTTCTCAATATGTATAATACTGTATTTCCACGTTGGAATACAGCCACGGACATGTTCATATTTTAAACAAACTTCTGTTTGGTAGTAATTTGGTGTGAACACTGACGTGTGTGTGTGTGTGTGAGCATTCGTGCGTGTTGTCGTTGAGGGCCTACAAACATTAAATATATACATTTTTTTCATTAATTGCGGTGTATTTTCTCAAACAGTATGACCTTTGAAATTACCTCTAATAAATTATGTCTGTTTGAAAGGATTTCCTTTTGTAAGTTTACATTTCAAATTGGGATAACTTGTGTGCAAGTAGGATGTAATGTGTACATGTAGTGTCTTATAAACACATATTTTATTCACACTGGATTGATAGTATGGCACTATTCGTATCTGTTTTGTCAGTCTCTGAATGTGTAATACATGATGATGACAGTACGAACTTACCTTACACAATTATAATGAAACTAATCGTAAACAGCTATGTTCAATATTTGACTAATCTCAACTTGTACATGCCATTTTGAAATGATCACCTTTTCTCAGTTTCTAAAACATGGACACGGACACTTACCTACTTTCCTTTTACATGTCCTGCCACCGAATCCACGTCGACACAAACATCTCCATTTCGAGCGTCCAATCTGCCTGCAAGTGCCTCCATTACGACAACGTCTTCTATGACACCGACCTTGGCGAAAACAAGAGAAAAAGGTGCTTGTCATTAATATTACTGATTGTGTTAATTCAACTTACAACAGGCTGCAGGTACATAATATCAGTCACAGGCTTGTCCATGCTCACTGATAAAGTAATACCTTGGCTTGGACACTGACGTATTTGTCTAGTCGATGGAATGTATGTAAAGAGCATTATATAGATATTCCTTCAATACTTTCAATCATTTCAGCATAGTTTAATGACTACAGTGTAAAAGAGTGGATTCCACCTCGACAGAACACATTTCTATATATTACCGTTAGGTCGGCAAAATTAATACCTGAACTACGACAACGTATTTTCTACGTGGATTACTCCTTTGTTGATAAAATGGAATAAACGCTGAATACATAGCAATTCCTGTTTTCTCAATATGTATAATACTGTATTTCCAAGTTGGAATACAGCCACGGACATGTTCATATTGTAGCCAAACTTCTGTTTGGTAGTAATTTGGTGTGAACACTGACGTGTGTGTGTGTTCGTTCGTGCGTGTTATCGTTGAGGGCCTACAAACATTAAATATATACATTTTTTCATTAATTGCGGTGTATTATCTCAAACAGTATATAACTTTTGAAATTACCTCTAATAAAACATATCTCTTTGAAATGATTTCCTTTTGTAAGTTTACATTTCAAACTGGGATAACTTGTGTGCAAGTGTGATGTAATGTGTACATGTAGCGTTCTTGGTAGAACATACTTATAGACCGATTCCGAAATTCATTAAGAAACAGATTTACATTTCAAACTGACTGACATAGCCATATAAAACCAAAACCATGCGAAAATAAAAGATTTCTAATATGCGATGTCCAAGTATTCTTTCCCATGTTATCTAAATGTAGAAGCATGTTATAGGCTAATTTGGGGAGACGTTGTTCATACATATCAAGAATTGTAAACCAGTATTTTAAACATCTGATCTGAGAGTTAATATATAATGGGTATCTACCACATTCACCATAAACCATGCAATTTGGTGTAGAAGACCTGACACACAGAAACTTTTTACATGCTAATAAGTGAACCTTCTCTAAACAGTCATAACGTTGAAATCCCCATACTTCAGAACCATACAATAAGATTGGTTGTATCTGGGTATCAAAAAGCTTAAAGAAGATCTTATCACATTTTTTTCCAATTCATTGTGTGTAAGAACCAGATTCCTAAATATGAGTAGTGATCTACTATATTGACTAACTGGCCATCGCAGACCATCTCTCTTTCGACGCTATTGGACCACCTTTTCTGAAGATCACAATTTTAGTTTTTTTCAAATTTACTGATAATTTCCATTCTTTCGTGTATGTACATTAAATATGTGATTGCCTTTGTAGACCAACAACAGTATCTGACACTAGAATGACATCATCTGCGAAAAGTAACATTAATATTTCTATCAAATCTGGAAACATTGGGATACCATGTTTACCACTGGCAGCTATTTCGTAATATAATTCATCAATGAAAAATGAAAATAAGATCGGACTCAAAATACAGCCTTGTCTTAGGCCCAAAGGACAATCAAAGAAATATGTTAAAGCTATCCCCACAACGAACACATGATCTCACATTAGAATACATTGATTTTAGAATAGTAAACATTTTCCCACGTAAACCAGCTTTTCGCAGACATGTCCATAGCTTAAAGCGATTGACAGAATCGAAAGCCTTTTTAAAATCTACAAATGCTTCATACAGTTTATGCTTATGCCGTGACAAGGTTTTTTGAATAAGTGCATAAAGTGTAAATACATGATCTTCGGTCGAATAACTTTTTCTGAAGCCAGCTTGAAATTCGGGAATTTTATCACGCATGGTCGCCAATTTGGAAATTCTATTGTTTAATATTGTAGTAAATACTTTTCCTAAAATGAGGGTTACTTACTTACTTATATTGGAGATTTTACGTGCCCTTTCCGACTGCAGCGTATTTCGCACACGGGCCCGGCCAGGCCATTTAATGTGTTTCCGAAAGAGGGAAAAAGTTGTTTGGCAATCCAGCAGGGGTGTTTTAGTGGTTGTTTATATAGAATTTTGGAAACTTTGAGATTTGGAAAAAATGCCAAGAGGGTTTGGGGGGCGAACTAAGGGACCTGAGTATGGAAGTTTGTTAGTTTGATTATGTGGTTTGGTTTTGGTAGTTTATTGGGGTTTTAAATGCGATTTATTAGTCCTGTTTTGATTAAGTATACGCCTAAGGCTTTGAATTTTTCTATTTTATGTTGTGGGTTCAGGATTGCTTCTAGAGTAAGAGCCTTATTTAGATTTAGGGTGGTTTGTAGTGTAGTTCGGTGTGTTAGGTAGTAGGTGCAGTGTATGAGTGCGTGTTCTGGGGTTTCTTGTTGCAATGTGCAATAGGGACATGAAGCCAATAAACAGGATAAGTGATTATTGTTTGATGAGTTCATAGTAGGCGGATGGGATGAAATAGCCCTGATCTCTGTTGATTGATGGCTTGTGGCGGCAAATGTGGACTGCTTCTGCTAGTTTTCTTTTAGTGAAATCGTGGAGGCTGATTTGCTGTCGGATTTAATGGTGGAGGTTTTATGCTCTTTCATTCTGGCGGGATGTTTCACCTACGTAAGATTGTCCACAGTTGCAGTTCACCCCATCCGCCTACTATGAACTCATCAAACAATAATCACTTATCCTGTTTATTGGCTTCATATCCCTATTGGCTTCCACCTTTGTGTTCTCTGTCCATCGTGTTGTGACAGCATCATCTCTTTGTTGTCAACACATACCAATGTTATCCCACTCATGTATGCAATTGGTGTTACTGTTATTCCTCTATTGTTAATCATCCACCTACTATATATATTCTGAACTATGTCCCTCATTCAGTCTTTCTTGACAACGGTATAAGGATCTATACCGAAACGTCGCTTTTCACAGTATTAAAGAAGTTGTTATCCATATAATTGTGTATATCTTGACTTCAACATTTCGATAACTACATCATCAGGACCAGCTGCTTTTCCCTTCTTGAGGTGATTTATCGCATCTAATATTTCGTTTTCAACAATGGGTGAATCTAGCAGAACTTCATCAACATCTGTGTCGCATTCACTAAAATATTTTTTGCATATCATCAGTTGCCATAGTGAATATGGCATCATTTGAAAAAAACTTCTTAAAATGACCAAGCCACTATGTTATCTGTAGCAGAGGATCTATTCTTAAGAGATCGTACTTGTTTCCAGAACGAAGAAGGGTTGTAAATACACTTTTTGAGTTTGTCTTGTCTATGTCTACGCATAACAAGTTTGTAAATCCGACAGCAACTTTTATATTTATTCCTACTTTCGCAATATTTCTTTCTGTCAAGACTATAGTACGGGCAGTCCTAAATCTTCGTAGTGCTCTGCGGGCGTTACGCCTTGCAATTCTACATCCAGTATTAAAAGTTTTAGATTTATACATGTTCAGTTTTAATTCTTTTCTCACACAAGCTGCTGAAACTTACCAACACTCTTCCGACATCTCCTGCCTCTGAATCCACGTCGACATAAACATCTCCATCTGAAGAGTCCGATCTGCTTGCAAGTGCCTCCATTGCGGCAAAGTCTTCTACGACACCGACCTTGGCGAAAACAAGAGCAAAAGGTGCTTGTCATAAATATTACTTATTGTGTTAATTCAATAGACTGCATTCATGCATTATTTAGATTTTCCTTCAATAATTGTAATCATTTCAGCATATTTTGAATGACCACAGTGTAAAACAGTGGATTCCACCTCGACAGAACACATTTCTATACATTACCATAAGGTCGGCAATATTAATACCTGGACTACCTCTACGTATTTTCTACTTGGATTCCTCCTTTGTTGATAACATTGAGGAAACGCTGAATACATCGCAATTCCTGTTTTCTCAATCTGTATAATACTGTATTTCCAAGTTGGAATATCATCACGGACATGTTCATATATTAACCAAACTTCTGTTTTGTAGTATTTTGGTGTGAACACTGACGTGTGTGTGTGTGTGTGTGCGTTCGTGCGTGTTGTCGTTGAGGGCCTACAAACATTAAATATATACATTTTTTTCATTAATTGCGTTGTATTTTCTCAAACAGTATGACCTTTGAAATTACCTCTAATAAATTATGTCTGTTTGAAAGGATTTCCTTTTGTAAGTTTACATTTCAAACTGGGATAACTTGTGTGCAAGTGTGATGTAATGTGTACATGTAGCGTCTTATAAACACATATTTTATTCACACTGGATTGATAGTATGGCACTATTCGTATCTGTTTTGTCAGTCTCTGAATGTGTAATACATGATGATGACAGTACGAACTTACCTTACACAATTATAATGAAACTAATCGTAAACAGCTATGTTCAATATTTGACTAATCTCAACTTGTACATGCCATTTTGAAATGATCACCTTTTCTCAGTTTCTAAAACATGGACACGGACACTTACCTACTTTCCTTTTACATGTCCTGCCACCGAATCCACGTCGACACAAACATCTCCATTTCGAGCGTCCAATCTGCCTGCAAGTGCCTCCATTACGACAACGTCTTCTATGACACCGACCTTGGCGAAAACAAGAGAAAAAGGTGCTTGTCATTAATATTACTGATTGTGTTAATTCAACTTACAACAGGCTGCAGGTACATAATATCAGTCACAGGCTTGTCCATGCTCACTGATAAAGTAATACCTTGGCTTGGACACTGACGTATTTGTCTAGTCGATGGAATGTATGTAAAGAGCATTATATAGATATTCCTTCAATACTTTCAATCATTTCAGCATAGTTTAATGACTACAGTGTAAAAGAGTGGATTCCACCTCGACAGAACACATTTCTATATATTACCGTTAGGTCGGCAAAATTAATACCTGAACTACGACAACGTATTTTCTACGTGGATTACTCCTTTGTTGATAAAATGGAATAAACGCTGAATACATAGCAATTCCTGTTTTCTCAATATGTATAATACTGTATTTCCAAGTTGGAATACAGCCACGGACATGTTCATATTGTAGCCAAACTTCTGTTTGGTAGTAATTTGGTGTGAACACTGACGTGTGTGTGTGTTCGTTCGTGCGTGTTATCGTTGAGGGCCTACAAACATTAAATATATACATTTTTTCATTAATTGCGGTGTATTATCTCAAACAGTATATAACTTTTGAAATTACCTCTAATAAAACATATCTCTTTGAAATGATTTCCTTTTGTAAGTTTACATTTCAAACTGGGATAACTTGTGTGCAAGTGTGATGTAATGTGTACATGTAGCGTCTTATAAACACATATTTTATTCACACTGGATTGATAGTATGGCACTATTCGTATCTGTTTTGTCAGTCTCTGAATGTGTAATACATGATGATGACAGTACGAACTTACCTTACACAATTATAATGAAACTAATCGTACACAGCTATGTTCAATATTTGACTAATCTCAACTTGTACATGCCATTTTGAAATGATCACCTTTTCTCAGTTTCTAAAACATGGACACGGACACTTACCTACTTTCCTTTTACATGTCCTGCCACCGAATCCACGTCGACACAAACATCTCCATTTCGAGCGTCCAATCTGCCTGCAAGTGCCTCCATTACGACAACGTCTTCTATGACACCGACCTTGGCGAAAACAAGAGAAAAAGGTGCTTGTCATTAATATTACTGATTGTGTTAATTCAACTTACAACAGGCTGCAGGTACATAATATCAGTCACAGGCTTGTCCATGCTCACTGATAAAGTAATACCTTGGCTTGGACACTGACGTATTTGTCTAGTCGATGGAATGTATGTAAAGAGCATTATATAGATATTCCTTCAATACTTTCAATCATTTCAGCATAGTTTAATGACTACAGTGTAAAAGAGTGGATTCCACCTCGACAGAACACATTTCTATATATTACCGTTAGGTCGGCAAAATTAATACCTGAACTACGACAACGTATTTTCTACTTGGATTCCTCCTTTGTTGATAAAATGGAATAAACGCTGAATACATAGCAATTCCTGTTTTCTCAATATGTATAATACTGTATTTCCAAGTTGGAATACAGCCACGGACATGTTCATATTGTAGCCAAACTTCTGTTTGGTAGTAATTTGGTGTGAACACTGACGTGTGTGTGTGTGTGTTCGTTCGTGCGTGTTATCGTTGAGGGCCTACAAACATTAAATATATACATTTTTTCATTAATTGCGGTGTATTATCTCAAACAGTATATAACTTTTGAAATTACCTCTAATAAAACATGTCTCTTTGAAATGATTTCCTTTTGTAAGTTTACATTTCAAACTGGGATAACTTGTGTGCAAGTGTGATGTAATGTGTACATGTAGCGTTCTTGGTAGAACATACTTATAGACCGATTCCGAAATTCATTAAGAAACAGATTTACATTTCAAACTGACTGACATAGCCATATAAAACCAAAACCATGCGAAAATAAAAGATTTCTAATATGCGATGTCCAAGTATTCTTTCCCATGTTATCTAAATGTAGAAGCATGTTATAGGCTAATTTGGGGAGACGTTGTTCATACATATCAAGAATTGTAAACCAGTATTTTAAACATCTGATCTGAGAGTTAATATATAATGGGTATCTACCACATTCACCATAAACCATGCAATTTGGTGTAGAAGACCTGACACACAGAAACTTTTTACATGCTAATAAGTGAACCTTCTCTAAACAGTCATAACGTTGAAATCCCCATACTTCAGAACCATACAATAAGATTGGTTGTATCTGGGTATCAAAAAGCTTAAAGAAGATCTTATCACATTTTTTTCCAATTCATTGTGTGTAAGAACCAGATTCCTAAATATGAGTAGTGATCTACTATATTGACTAACTGGCCATCGCAGACCATCTCTCTTTCGACGCTATTGGACCACCTTTTCTGAAGATCACAATTTTAGTTTTTTTCAAATTTACTGATAATTTCCATTCTTTCGTGTATGTACATTAAATATGTGATTGCCTTTGTAGACCAACAACAGTATCTGACACTAGAATGACATCATCTGCGAAAAGTAACATTAATATTTCTATCAAATCTGGAAACATTGGGATACCATGTTTACCACTGGCAGCTATTTCGTAATATAATTCATCAATGAAAAATGAAAATAAGATCGGACTCAAAATACAGCCTTGTCTTAGGCCCAAAGGACAATCAAAGAAATATGTTAAAGCTATCCCCACAACGAACACATGATCTCACATTAGAATACATTGATTTTAGAATAGTAAACATTTTCCCACGTAAACCAGCTTTTCGCAGACATGTCCATAGCTTAAAGCGATTGACAGAATCGAAAGCCTTTTTAAAATCTACAAATGCTTCATACAGTTTATGCTTATGCCGTGACAAGGTTTTTTGAATAAGTGCATAAAGTGTAAATACATGATCTTCGGTCGAATAACTTTTTCTGAAGCCAGCTTGAAATTCGGGAATTTTATCACGCATGGTCGCCAATTTGGAAATTCTATTGTTTAATATTGTAGTAAATACTTTTCCTAAAATGAGGGTTACTTACTTACTTATATTGGAGATTTTACGTGCCCTTTCCGACTGCAGCGTATTTCGCACACGGGCCCGGCCAGGCCATTTAATGTGTTTCCGAAAGAGGGAAAAAGTTGTTTGGCAATCCAGCAGGGGTGTTTTAGTGGTTGTTTATATAGAATTTTGGAAACTTTGAGATTTGGAAAAAATGCCAAGAGGGTTTGGGGGGCGAACTAAGGGACCTGAGTATGGAAGTTTGTTAGTTTGATTATGTGGTTTGGTTTTGGTAGTTTATTGGGGTTTTAAATGCTTCTGCTAGTTTTCTTTTAGTGAAATCGTGGAGGCTGATTTGCTGTCGGATTTAATGGTGGAGGTTTTATGCTCTTTCATTCTGGCGGGATGTTTCACCTACGTAAGATTGTCCACAGTTGCAGTTCACCCCATCCGCCTACTATGAACTCATCAAACAATAATCACTTATCCTGTTTATTGGCTTCATATCCCTATTGGCTTCCACCTTTGTGTTCTCTGTCCATCGTGTTGTGACAGCATCATCTCTTTGTTGTCAACACATACCAATGTTATCCCACTCATGTATGCAATTGGTGTTACTGTTATTCCTCTATTGTTAATCATCCACCTACTATATATATTCTGAACTATGTCCCTCATTCAGTCTTTCTTGACAACGGTATAAGGATCTATACCGAAACGTCGCTTTTCACAGTATTAAAGAAGTTGTTATCCATAAAATTGTGTATATCTTGACTTCAACATTTCGATAACTACATCATCAGGACCAGCTGCTTTTCCCTTCTTGAGGTGATTTATCGCATCTAATATTTCGTTTTCAACAATGGGTGAATCTAGCAGAACTTCATCAACATCTGTGTCGCATTCACTAAAATATTTTTTGCATATCATCAGTTGCCATAGTGAATATGGCATCATTTGAAAAAAACTTCTTAAAATGACCAAGCCACTACGTTATCTGTAGCAGAAGATCTATTCTTAAGAGATCGTACTTGTTTCCAGAACGAAGAAGGGTTGTAAATACACTTTTTGAGTTTGTCTTGTCTATGTCTACGCATAACAAGTTTGTAAATCCGACAGCAACTTTTATATTTATTCCTACTTTCGCAATATTTCTTTCTGTCAAGACTATAGTACGGGCAGTCCTAAATCTTCGTAGTGCTCTGCGGGCGTTACGCCTTGCAATTCTACATCCAGTATTAAAAGTTTTAGATTTATACATGTTCAGTTTTAATTCTTTTCTCACACAAGCTGCTGAAACTTACCAACACTCTTCCGACATCTCCTGCCTCTGAATCCACGTCGACATAAACATCTCCATCTGAAGAGTCCGATCTGCTTGCAAGTGCCTCCATTGCGGCAAAGTCTTCTACGACACCGACCTTGGCGAAAACAAGAGCAAAAGGTGCTTGTCATAAATATTACTTATTGTGTTAATTCAATAGACTGCATTCATGCATTATTTAGATTTTCCTTCAATAATTGTAATCATTTCAGCATATTTTGAATGACCACAGTGTAAAACAGTGGATTCAACCTCGACAGAACACATTTCTATATATTACCATAAGGTCGGCAATATTAATACCTGGACTACCTCTACGTATTTTCTACTTGGATTCCTCCTTTGTTGATAACATTGAGGAAACGCTGAATACATCGCAATTCCTGTTTTCTCAATCTGTATAATACTGTATTTCCAAGTTGGAATATCATCACGGACATGTTCATATATTAACCAAACTTCTGTTTTGTAGTATTTTGGTGTGAACACTGACGTGTGTGTGTGTGTGTGCGTTCGTGCGTGTTGTCGTTGAGGGCCTACAAACATTAAATATATACATTTTTTTCATTAATTGCGTTGTATTTTCTCAAACAGTATGACCTTTGAAATTACCTCTAATAAATTATGTCTGTTTGAAAGGATTTCCTTTTGTAAGTTTACATTTCAAATTGGGATAACTTGTGTGCAAGTGTGATGTAATGTGTACATGTAGTGTCTTATAAACACATATTTTATTCACACTGGATTGATAGTATGGCACTATTCGTATCTGTTTTGTCAGTCTCTGAATGTGTAATACATGATGATGACAGTACGAACTTACCTTACACAATTATAATGAAACTAATCGTACACAGCTATGTTCAATATTTGACTAATCTCAACTTGTACATGCCATTTTGAAATGATCACCTTTTCTCAGTTTCTAAAACATGGACACGGACACTTACCTACTTTCCTTTTACATGTCCTGCCACCGAATCCACGTCGACACAAACATCTCCATTTCGAGCGTCCAATCTGCCTGCAAGTGCCTCCATTACGACAACGTCTTCTATGACACCGACCTTAGCGAAAACAAGAGAAAAAGGTGCTTGTCATTAATATTACTGATTGTGTTAATTCAACTTACAACAGGCTGCAGGTACATAATATCAGTCACAGGCTTGTCCATGCTCACTGATAAAGTAATACCTTGGCTTGGACACTGACGTATTTGTCTAGTCGATGGAATGTATGTAAAGAGCATTATATAGATATTCCTTCAATACTTTCAATCATTTCAGCATAGTTTAATGACTACAGTGTAAAAGAGTGGACTCCACCTCGACAGAACACATTTCTATATATTACCGTTAGGTCGGCAAAATTAATACCTAAACTACGAGAACGTATTTTCTACGTGGATTACTCCTTTGTTGATAAAATGGAATAAACGCTGAATACATAGCAATTCCTGTTTTCTCAATATGTATAATACTGTATTTCCAAGTTGGAATACAGCCACGGACATGTTCATATTGTAGCCAAACTTCGGTTTGGTAGTAATTTGGTGTGAACACTGACGTGTGTGTGTGTTCGTTCGTGCGTGTTATCGTTGAGGGCCTACAAACATTAAATATATACATTTTTTCATTAATTGCGGTGTATTATCTCAAACAGTATATAACTTTTGAAATTACCTCTAATAAAACATGTGTCATTGAAATGATTTCCTTTTGTAAGTTTACATTTCAAACTGGGATAACTTGTGTGCAAGTGTGATGTAATGTGTACATGTAGCGTCTTATAAACACATATTTTATTCACACTGGATTGATAGTATGGCACTATTCGTATCTGTTTTGTCAGTCTCTGAATGTGTAATACATGATGATGACAGTACGAACTTACCTTACACAATTATAATGAAACTAATCGTACACAGCTATGTTCAATATTTGACTAATCTCAACTTGTACATGCCATTTTGAAATGATCACCTTTTCTCAGTTTCTAAAACATGGACACGGACACTTACCTACTTTCCTTTTACATGTCCTGCCACCGAATCCACGTCGACACAAACATCTCCATTTCGAGCGTCCAATCTGCCTGCAAGTGCCTCCATTACGACAACGTCTTCTATGACACCGACCTTGGCGAAAACAAGAGAAAAAGGTGCTTGTCATTAATATTACTGATTGTGTTAATTCAACTTACAACAGGCTGCAGGTACATAATATCAGTCACAGGCTTGTTAATGCTCACTGATAAAGTAATACCTTGGCTTGGACACTGACGTATTTGTCTAGTCGATGGAATGTATGTAAAGAGCATTATATAGATATTCCTTCAATACTTTCAATCATTTCAGCATATTTTGATAACTACAGTGTAAAAGAGTGGACTCCACTTCGACAGAACACATTTCTATATATTACCGTTAGGTCGGCAAAATTAATACCTGAACTACGACAACGTATTTTCTACTTGGATTCCTCCTTTGTTGATAAAATGGAATAAACGCTGAATACATAGCAATTCCTGTTTATCTCAATATGTATAATACTGTTTCCAAGTTGGAATACAACCACGGACATGTTCATATTTTAACCAAACTTCTGTTTGGTAGTATTTTGGTGTGAACACTGACGTGTGTGTGTTCGTTCGTGCGTGTTGTCGTTCAGGGCCTTCAAATATTAAATATAATTTTTTTTTCATTAATTGCGTTGCATTATCTCAAACAGTATATGACCTTTGAAATTACCTCTAATAAAACATGTCTCTTTGAAATGATTTCCTTTTGTAAGTTTACATTTCAAATTGGGATAACTTGTGTGCAAGTGTGATGTAATGTATACATGTAGCGTCTGATAAAAACATTTTTTCATTCACGCTGAATGTTATGGCACTATTCGTATCTGTTTTGTCATTCGTTGTATGTGTAATACATGATGATGAAAGTACGAACTTACCTTTCACAACACAGACACTTACCTACTCTCTTTTTACATCTCCTGCCCCCGAATCCACGTCGACACAAACATTTCCATTTCGAGCGTCCAATCTGCCTGCAAGTGCCTCCATTACGGCAACGTCTTCTATTACACCGACCTTGGCGAAAACAAGAGCAAAAGGTGCTTGTCATTGATATTACTGATTGTGTTAATTCAACTTACAACATACTGCAGGTACATAATATCAGTCACGGGCATGTTCATGCTCACTGATAAGGTTACCTTGGCTTGGACACTGACGTATTTGTCTAGTCGATGGAATGTATGTAAAGAGCATTATATAGATATTCCTTCAATACTTTCAATCATTTCAGCATAGTTTAATGACTACAGTGTAAAAGAGTGGATTCCACCTCGACAGAACACATTTCTATATATTACCGTTAGGTTGGCAAAATTAATACCTAAACTACGAGAACGTATTTTCTACGTGGATTACTCCTTTGTTGATAAAATGGAATAAACGCTGAATACATAGCAATTCCTGTTTTCTCAATATGTATAATACTGTATTTCCAAGTTGGAATACAGCCACGGACATGTTCATATTGTAGCCAAACTTCGGTTTGGTAGTAATTTGGTGTGAACACTGACGTGTGTGTGTGTTCGTTCGTGCGTGTTATCGTTGAGGGCCTACAAACATTAAATATATTCATTTTTTCATTAATTGTGGTGTATTATCTCAAACAGTATATAACTTTTGAAATTACCTCTAATAAAACATATCTCTTTGAAATGATTTCCTTTTGTAAGTTTACATTTCAAATTGGGATAACTTGTGTGCAAGTGTGATGTAATGTGTACATGTAGCGTCTTATAAACACATATTTTATTCACACTGGATTGATAGTATGGCACTATTCGTATCTGTTTTGTCAGTCTCTGAATGTGTAATACATGATGATGACAGTACGAACTTACCTTACACAATTATAATGAAACTAATCGTACACAGCTATGTTCAATATTTGACTAATCTCAACTTGTACATGCCATTTTGAAATGATCACCTTTTCTCAGTTTCTAAAACATGGACACGGACACTTACCTACTTTCCTTTTACATGTCCTGCCACCGAATCCACGTCGACACAAACATCTCCATTTCGAGCGTCCAATCTGCCTGCAAGTGCCTCCATTACGACAACGTCTTCTATGACACCGACCTTGGCGAAAACAAGAGCAAAAGGTGCTTGTCATAAATATTACTTATTGTGTTAATTCAATAGACTTCATTCATGCATTATTTAGATTTTCCTTCAATAATTGTAATCATTTCAGCATATTTTGAATGACCACAGTGTAAAACAGTGGATTCCACCTCGACAGAACACATTTCTATATATTACCATAAGGTCGGCAATATTAATACCTGGACTACCTCTCCGTATTTTCTACTTGGATTCCTCCTTTGTTGATAACATTGAGGAAACGCTGAATACATCGCAATTCCTGTTTTCTCAATCTGTATAATACTGTATTTCCAAGTTGGAATATCATCACGGACATGTTCATATATTAACCAAACTTCTGTTTGGTAGTAATTTGGTGTGAACACTGACGTGTGTGTGTGTGTTTTCGTTCGTGCGTGTTATCGTTGAGGGCCTACAAACATTAAATATATACATTTTTTCATTAATTGCGGTGTATTATCTCAAACAGTATATAACTTTTGAAATTACCTCTAATAAAACATGTGTCTTTGAAATGATTTCCTTTTGTAAGTTTACATTTCAAACTGGGATAACTTGTGTGCAAGTGTGATGTAATGTGTACATGTAGTGTCTTATAAACACATATTTTATTCACACTGGATTGATAGTATGGCACTATTCGTATCTGTTTTGTCAGTCTCTGAATGTGTAATACATCATGATGACAGTACGAACTTACCTTACACAATTATAATGAAACTAATCGTACACAGCTATGTTCAATATTTGACTAATCTCAACTTGTACATGCCATTTTGAAATGATCACCTTTTCTCAGTTTCTAAAACATGGACACGGACACTTACCTACTTTCCTTTTACATGTCCTGCCACCGAATCCACGTCGACACAAACATCTCCATTTCGAGCGTCCAATCTGCCTGCAAGTGCCTCCATTACGACAACGTCTTCTATGACACCGACCTTGGCGAAAACAAGAGAAAAAGGTGCTTGTCATTAATATTACTGATTGTGTTAATTCAACTTACAACAGGCTGCAGGTACATAATATCAGTCACAGGCTTGTCCATGCTCACTGATAAAGTAATACCTTGGCTTGGACACTGACGTATTTGTCTAGTCGATGGAATGTATGTAAAGAGCATTATATAGATATTCCTTCAATACTTTCAATCATTTCAGCATAGTTTAATGACTACAGTGTAAAAGAGTGGATTCCACTTCGACAGAACACATTTCTATATATTACCGTTAGGTCGGCAAAATTAATACCTGAACTACGACAACGTATTTTCTACTTGGATTCCTCCTTTGTTGATAAAATGGAATAAACGCTGAATACATAGCAATTCCTGTTTTCTCAATATGTATAATACTGTATTTCCAAGTTGGAATACAACCACGGACATGTTCATATTGTAGCCAAACTTCTGTTTGGTAGTAATTTGGTGTGAACACTGACGTGTGTGTGTGTGTGTTCGTTCGTGCGTGTTATCGTTGAGGGCCTACAAACATTAAATATATACATTTTTTCATTAATTGCGGTGTATTATCTCAAACAGTATATAACTTTTGAAATTACCTCTAATAAAACATGTGTCTTTGAAATGATTTCCTTTTGTAAGTTTACATTTCAAACTGGGATAACTTGTGTGCAAGTGTGATGTAATGTGTACATGTAGCGTCTTATAAACACATATTTTATTCACACTGGATTGATAGTATGGCACTATTCGTATCTGTTTTGTCAGTCTCTGAATGTGTAATACATGATGATGACAGTACGAACTTACCTTACACAATTATAATGAAACTAATCGTACACAGCTATGTTCAATATTTGACTAATCTCAACTTGTACATGCCATTTTGAAATGATCACCTTTTCTCAGTTTCTAAAACATGGACACGGACACTTACCTACTTTCCTTTTACATGTCCTGCCACCGAATCCACGTCGACACAAACATCTCCATTTCGAGCGTCCAATCTGCCTGCAAGTGCCTCCATTACGGCAACGTCTTCTATGACACCGACCTTGGCGAAAACAAGAGAAAAAGGTGCTTGTCATTAATATTACTGATTGTGTTAATTCAACTTACAACATACTGCAGGTACATGATATCAGTCACGGGCATGTTAATGCTCACTGATAAAGTAATACCTTGGCTTGGGCACTGACGTATTTGTCTAGTCGATGGAATGTATGTAAAGAGCATTATATAGATATTCCTTCAATAATGTCAATCATTTCAGCATATTTTGATAACTACAGTGTAAAAGAGTGGACTCCACTTCGACAGAACACATTTCTATATATTACCGTTAGGTCGGCAAAATTAATACCTGAACTACAACAACGTATTTTCTACTTGGATTCCTCCTTTGTTGATAAAATGGAATAAACGCTGAATACATAGCAATTCCTGTTTATCTCAATATGTATAATACTGTTTCCAAGTTGGAATACAACCACGGACATGTTCATATTTTAACCAAACTTCTGTTTGGTAGTATTTTGGTGTGAACACTGACGTGTGTGTGTTCGTTCGTGCGTGTTGTCGTTCAGGGCCTACAAATATTAAATATAATTTTTTTTTCATTAATTGCGTTGCATTATCTCAAACAGTATATGACCTTTGAAATTACCTCTAATAAAACATGTCTCTTTGAAATGATTTCCTTTTGTAAGTTTACATTTCAAATTGGGATAACTTGTGTGCAAGTGTGATGTAATGTATACATGTAGCGTCTGATAAAAACATTTTTTCATTCACGCTGAATGTTATGGCACTATTCGTATCTGTTTTGTCATTCGTTGTATGTGTAATACATGATGATGAAAGTACGAACTTACCTTTCACAACACAGACACTTACCTACTCTCTTTTTACATCTCCTGCCCCCGAATCCACGTCGACACAAACATTTCCATTTCGAGCGTCCAATCTGCCTGCAAGTGCCTCCATTACGGCAACGTCTTCTATTACACCGACCTTGGCGAAAACAAGAGCAAAAGGTGCTTGTCATTGATATTACTGATTGTGTTAATTCAACTTACAACATACTGCAGGTACATAATATCAGTCACGGGCATGTTCATGCTCACTGATAAAGTAATACCTTGGCTTAGGCACTGACGTATTTTTCTAGTCGATTGGATGCATGTAAAGAGCATTATTTAGATTTTCTTTCAATAATTTCAATCATTTCAGCATATTTTAATGACTTCAGTGTAAAAAATCGGATTCCTTCTCGACAGAACACATTTCTATGTATTACCGTAAGGTCGGCAAAATTAATACCTGGACTACCTCTACATATTTTCTACTTGGATTCCTCCCTTGTTGATACAATTAAGGAAAGCTGAATACATAGCAATTCCTGTTTTCTCAATCTGTATAATACTGTATTTCCACGTTGGAATACAGCCACGGACATGTTCATATTTTAAACAAACTTCTGTTTGGTAGTAATTTGGTGTGAACACTGACGTGTGTGTGTGTGTGTTCGTTCGTGCGTGTTATCGTTGAGGGCCTACAAACATTAAATATATACATTTTTTCTTTAATTGCGGTGTATTATCTCAAACAGTATATAACTTTTGAAATTACCTCTAATAAAACATGTGTCATTGAAATGATTTCCTTTTGTAAGTTTACATTTCAAACTGGGATAACTTGTGTGCAAGTGTGATGTAATGTGTACATGTAGCGTCTTATAAACACATATTTTATTCACACTGGATTGATAGTATGGCACTATTCGTATCTGTTTTGTCAGTCTCTGAATGTGTAATACATCATGATGACAGTACGAACTTACCTTACACAATTATAATGAAACTAATCGTACACAGCTATGTTCAATATTTGACTAATCTCAACTTGTACATGCCATTTTGAAATGATCACCTTTTCTCAGTTTCTAAAACATGGACACGGACACTTACCTACTTTCCTTTTACATGTCCTGCCACCGAATCCACGTCGACACAAACATCTCCATTTCGAGCGTCCAATCTGCCTGCAAGTGCCTCCATTACGGCAACGTCTTCTATGACACCGACCTTGGCGAAAACAAGAGAAAAAGGTGCTTGTCATTAATATTACTGATTGTGTTAATTCAACTTACAACATACTGCAGGTACATGATATCAGTCACGGACATGTTAATGCTCACTGATAAAGTAATACCTTGGCTTGGGCACTGACGTATTTGTCTAGTCGATGGAATGTATGTAAAGAGCATTATATAGATATTCCTTCAATAATGTCAATCATTTCAGCATATTTTGATAACTACAGTGTAAAAGAGTGGACTCCACTTCGACAGAACACATTTCTATATATTACCGTTAGGTCGGCAAAATTAATACCTGAACTACAACAACGTATTTTCTACTTGGATTCCTCCTTTGTTGATAAAATGGAATAAACGCTGAATACATAGCAATTCCTGTTTATCTCAATATGTATAATACTGTTTCCAAGTTGGAATACAACCACGGACATGTTCATATTTTAACCAAACTTCTGTTTGGTAGTATTTTGGTGTGAACACTGACGTGTGTGTGTTCGTTCGTGCGTGTTGTCGTTCAGGGCCTACAAATATTAAATATAAATTTTTTTTCATTAATTGCGTTGCATTATCTCAAACAGTATATGACCTTTGAAACTACCTCTAATAAAACATGTCTCTTTGAAATGATTTCCTTTTGTAAGTTTACATTTCAAATTGGGATAACTTGTGTGCAAGTGTGATGTAATGTATACATGTAGCGTCTGATAAAAACATTTTTTCATTCACGCTGAATGTTATGGCACTATTCGTATCTGTTTTGTCATTCGTTGTATGTGTAATACATGATGATGAAAGTACGAACTTACCTTTCACAACACAGACACTTACCTACTCTCTTTTTACATCTCCTGCCCCCGAATCCACGTCGACACAAACATTTCCATTTCGAGCGTCCAATCTGCCTGCAAGTGCCTCCATTACGGCAACGTCTTCTATTACACCGACCTTGGCGAAAACAAGAGCAAAAGGTGCTTGTCATTGATATTACTGATTGTGTTAATTCAACTTACAACATACTGCAGGTACATAATATCAGTCACGCGCATGTTCATGCTCACTGATAAAGTAATACCTTGGCTTAGGCACTGACGTATTTTTCTAGTCGATTGGATGCATGTAAAGAGCATTATTTAGATTTTGTTTCAATAATTTCAATCATTTCAGCATATTTTAATGACTTCAGTGTAAAAAATCGGATTCCTTCTCGACAGAACACATTTCTATATATTACCGTAAGGTCGGCAAAATTAATACCTGGACTACCTCTACATATTTTCTACTTGGATTCCTCCCTTGTTGATACAATTAAGGAAACGCTGAATACATAGCAATTCCTGTTTTCTCAATCTGTATAATACTGTATATCCACGTTGGAATACAGCCACGGACATGTTCATATTTTAAACAAACTTCTGTTTGGTAGTAATTTGGTGTGAACACTGACGTGTGTGTGTGTGTGTGTGTGTGTGCGTTCGTGCGTGTTGTCGTTGAGGGCCTACAAACATTAAATATATACATTTTTTTCATTAATTGCGTTGTATTTTCTCAAACAGTATGACCTTTGAAAATTACCTCTAATAAATTATGTTTGTTTGAAAGGATTTCCTTTTGTAAGTTTACATTTCAAACTGGGATAACTTGTGTGCAAGTGTGATGTAATGTGTACATGTAGTGTCTTATAAACACATATTTTATTCACACTGGATTGATAGTATGGCACTATTCGTATCTGTTTTGTCAGTCTCTGAATGTGTAATACATCATGATGACAGTACGAACTTACCTTACACAATTATAATGAAACTAATCGTACACAGCTATGTTCAATATTTGACTAATCTCAACTTGTACATGCCATTTTGAAATGATCACCTTTTCTCAGTTTTTAAAACATGGACACGGACACTTACCTACTCTCCTTTTACATGTCCTGCCACCGAATCCACGTCGACACAAACATCTCCATTTCGAGCGTCCAATCTGCCTGCAAGTGCCTCCATTACGGCAACGTTTTCTATGACACCGACCTTGGCGAAAACAAGAGCAAAAGGTGCTTGTCTTTAATATTACTGATTGTGTTAATACAACTTACAACATACTGCAGGTCCATAATATCAGTCACGCGCATGTTCAGGCTCACTTGTAAAGTAATACCTTGGTTTGGGCACTGACGTATGTTTCTAGTCGTTGAGATGCATGTTAAGAGCATTATTTAGATTTTCCTTAAATAATTTCAGCATATTGTAAGGACTATAGTGTAAGACAGTGGATCCACCTCGACAGAACACATTGCTATATATTACTGTAAGGTCGGCAAAATTAATACCTGAACTACCTCTACGTATTTTCTACTTGGATTCCTCCTTTGTTGATAAAATAGAGGAAACGCTGAATACATAGCCTTTCCTGTTTTCTCAATCTGTATAATACTGTTTCCAAGTTGGAATACAACCACGGACATGTTCATATTTTAACCAAACTTCTGTTTGGTAGTATTTTGATGTGAACACTGACGTGTGTGTGTCTGCGTTCGTGCATGTTGTCGTTCAGGGCCTACAGATATTAAATATATACATTTCTTTCATTAATTGCGTTGGATTATCTCAAACAGTATATGACCTTTGAAATTAGCTCTAATAAAACATGTCTGTTTGAAATGATTTCCTTTTGTAAGTTTACATTTAAAGTTGGGATAACGTGTGTGCAAGTGTGATGTAATGTATACATGTAGCATCTTATAAACACATATTTTATTCACACTGGATTGATAGTATGGCACTATTCGTATCTGTTTTGTCAGTCTCTGAATGTGTAATACATGATGATGACAGTACGAACTTACCTTACACAATTATAACGAAACTAATCGTACACAACTATGTTCAATATTTGACTAATCTCAACTTGTACATGCCATTTTGAAATGATCACCTATTCTCAGTTTCTCAAACATGGACACGGACACTTACCTACTCTCCTTTTACATGTCCTGCCCCCGAATCCACGTCGACACAAACATCTCCATTTCGAGCGTCCAATCTGCTTGCAAGTGCCTCCATTACGGCAACGTTTTCTATGACACCGACCTTGGCGAAAACAAGAGCAAAAGGTGCTTGTCTTTAATATTACTGATTGTGTTAATACAACTTACAACATACTGCAGGTCCATAATATCAGTCACGCGCATGTTCATGCTCACTTGTAAAGTAATACCTTGGTTTGGGCACTGACGTATGTTTCTAGTCGTTGAGATGCATGTAAGGAGCATTATTTAGATTTTCCTTAAATAATTTCAGCATATTGTAAGGACTATAGTGTAAGACAATGGATCCACCTCGACAGAACACATTTCTATATATTACCGTAAGGTCGGCAAAATTAATACCTGAACTACCTCTACGTATTTTCTACTTGGATTCCTCCTTTGTTGATAAAATAGAGGAAACGCTGAATACATAGCCTTTCCTGTTTTCTCAATCTGTATAATTCTGTATTTCCACGTTGGAATACAATCATGGACATGTTCATGATATTTTAATCAAACTTCTGTTTGGTAGTTTTTTTATATTAAATATATACATTTCTTTCATTAATTGCGTTGCATTATCTCAAACAGTATATGACCTTTGAAATTAGCTCTAATAAAACATGTCTGTTTGAAACAATTTCCTTTTGTAAGTTTACATTTAAAATTGGGATAACTTGTGTGCAAGTGTGATGTAATGTATACATGAAGCGTCTTATAAACACATTTTATGTTCACATTGGATTGAGTACGGATTGAGTACGAACTTACCTTACACTATTACAATGAAACTAATTGTATAAAACTATGATCAATATTTGACTAATCTCAACTTGTACATGCCATTTTGAAATGATCACCTATTCTCAGTTTCTCAAACATGGACACGGACACTTACCTACTCTCCTTTTACATGTCCTGCCCCCGAATCCACGTCGACACAAACATCTCCATTTCGAGCGTCCAATCTGCTTGCAAGTGCCTCCATTACGGCAACGTTTTCTATGACACCGACCTTGGCGAAAACAAGAGCAAAAGGTGCTTGTCTTTAATATTACTGATTGTGTTAATACAACTTACAACATACTGCAGGTCCATAATATCAGTCACGCGCATGTTCATGCTCACTTGTAAAGTAATACCTTGGTTTGGGCACTGACGTATGTTTCTAGTCGTTGAGATGCATGTAAGGAGCATTATTTAGATTTTCCTTAAATAATTTCAGCATATTGTGAGGACTATAGTGTAAGACAGTGGATCCACCTCGACAGAACACATTTCTATATATTACCGTAAGGTCGGCAAAATTAATACCTGAACTACCTCTACGTATTTTCTACTTGGATTCCTCCTTTGTTGATAAAATAGAGGAAACGCTGAATACATAGCCTTTCCTGTTTTCTCAATCTGTATAATACTGTTTCCAAGTTGGAATACAACCACGGACATGTTCATATTTTAACCAAACTTCTGTTTGGTAGTATTTTGATGTGAACACTGACGTGTGTGTTGTCGTTGTGGGCCTACAAACATTAAATATATACATGTTTTCTTTAATTGCGTTGCATTATCTCAAACAGTATATGACCTTTGAAAGTACCTCTAATAAAACATGTCTGTTTGAAATGATTTCCTTTTGTAAGTTTACATTTCAAACTGGGATAACTTGTGTGCAAGTGTGATGTAATGTATACATGTAGCATCTTATAAACACATATTTTATTCACACTGGATTGATAGTATGGCACTATTCGTATCTGTTTTGTCAGTCTCTGAATGTGTAATACATGATGATGACAGTACGAACTTACCTTACACAATTATAACGAAACTAATCGTACACAACAATGTTCAATATTTGACTAATCTCAACTTGTACATGCCATTTTGAGATGATCACCTATCCTCAGTTTCTCAAACATGGACACGGACACTTACCTACTCTCCTTTTACATGTCCTGCCCCCGAATCCACGTCGACACAAACATCTCCATTTCGAGCGTCCAATCTGCTTGCAAGTGCCTCCATTACGGCAACGTTTCCTATGACACCGACCTTGGCGAAAACAAGAGCAAAAGGTGCTTGTCTTTAATATTACTGATTGTGTTAATACAACTTACAACATACTGCAGGTCCATAATATCAGTCACGCGCATGTTCATGCTCACTTGTAAAGTAATACCTTGGTTTGGGCACTGACGTATGTTTCTAGTCGTTGAGATGCATGTAAAGAGCATTATTTAGATTTTCCTTAAATAATTTCAGCATATTGTAAGGACTATAGTGTAAGACAGTGGATCCACCTCGACAGAACACATTTCTATATATTACCGTAAGGTCGGCAAAATTAATACCTGAACTACCTCTACGTATTTTATACTTGGATTCCTCCTTTGTTGATAAAATGGAGGAAACGCTGAATACATAGCCTTTCCTGTATGGCACTATTCGTATCTGTTTTGTCAGTCTCTGAATGTGTAATAGATGATGATGACAGTACGAACTTACCTTACACAACTATAACGAAACTTATCGTACACAACTATGTTCAATATTTGACTAATCTCAACTTGCACATGCCATTTTGAGATGATCACCTATCCTCAGTTTCTAAAACATGAACACGGACACTTACCTACTCTCCTTTTACATGTCCTGCCCCCGAATCCACGTCGACACAAACATCTCCATTTCGAGCGTCCAACCTGCTTGCAAGTGCCTCCATTACGGCAACGTCCTCTACGACACCGACCTTGGCGAAAACAAGAGTAAAAGGTGCTTGTCATTAATATTACTGATTGTGTTAATTCAACTTACAACAGACTGCAGGTACATAATAGCAGTCACGGGCATGTTCATGCTCACTGATAAAGTAATACCTTGGCCTCGGCACTGACGTATTTGTCTTGTTGAGATGCATGTAAAGAGCATTATTTAGATTTTCCTTCAATAATCATTTCAACATGGTTTAATTACTACAATGTAAAAGAGTGGATGCCACCTCGACAGAACACATTTTCCTTTATTAACGTCAGGTCGGCAAAATTAAAACTTGTACAGCCACAACGTATTTCTACAACGTATATCTCTCTCTGTCTGTGTGTGTCTCTCTGTCTGTGTGTCTGTTTGGGTGTGTCTCTGTGTATGTGTGTCTGTCTGTGTGTGTCAGTGTGTGTTTCTGTCTGTGTTTGTTTGTGTGTGTCTGTCTGTGTGTGTGTGTGTGTGTGTGTGTGTGTGTGTGTGTGTGTGTGTGTGTGTGTGTGTGTGTGTGTGTGTGTGTGTGTGTGTGTGTGTGTGTGTCTGTGTCTGTGTCTGTATGTGTGTATTGCACTGCATTGTACCTCCAATCACACCTAAATTAATAACACGACCGTTGATTAATTAATTACCCAGGGGAAGAGAAAAGCCAAATGAGAACCAGTGATTGCTATATGTACCAGACACCTTTGTCCGAACACGCAAGCATGTAAGATAACTTAAATCTTGATGAAATTGCTGTCAGGCCTCCATATGGCGAATTGCCTTGAAACAAGAGAGGAGAGAGCTGTGGGGTCCAAGATGTATTCAAGGAAGTATCACAATTCATTCATTCATATGTAATAATGGCACATAATAATAATAATAATAATAATAATAATAATAATAATAATAATAATAATAATAATGATAATAATAATAATAATAATAATGCCCTGATTCGGTTTCAATCTAAGTCTGGGAATAAATTCAATATATGTTATACTGGAATACGTACCGTAAATGCGCATAAAGTTATGATACATGAGATGCACTGGTTGGGTTGTGGTGCCTACTTGGGTAACTACGGTAAGAATTATGACTATCGTTAATATTAATTTTATAGAATGAAAAATACATACGTATGGCATATACGGTAAACTGCGCAGAGTGTTCAGATGCGAAATATGCCATATTCATATGTGTAGTTTTAGTAATAATTTTCATGACATAATAATTTCGGCAAATACGATAAGTAAAATGGTCGGTTGATTGTTCAGACACGAAGGTATCACGAAGGCGACGTACGAATTTCGGCCAAAACGGTAATCAAAATAGCAGGGTGATTGATACAAATAAAGACATGAATGTACACGGTGGGAGATAGACCTCACTATTAGCGTGAGAATAGTAAGCTACAGTAGTGATTATTGTGGTGACTACTGTAATGTATCACGCAGGCAATGTTATATTGACGACGTGCATTTCCTATAACTAAAGAGCTAGACGATAACAGATAATGCAGTTAATGCTAATTGTAAACTGCAACGATGCGCGTTTCAATGTAGATTGTCGCGAAATATGAAAGAAGACTATATATGACTTTAAATTAATTCGGTAATGTATTTGGCGTATAGGCTCTGTGTACCGAATGCATACTTCAACGATACGCGTTTGAACGTACATTGTCGCGAAATATACAAGAAGACTATATGTGTATTTAAATGATTACGGTAATGTATGTGGCGTATAGGCTATTTTGTTCTGTATCAAACTGAATAAAGAACGAAACCTATTACAATATCTAAATGTTTTGTAAGGTGATAAACATAAAATACAGAATGCGTTCAACAGAATGGTTATAGCATATACTGTAAGCGAGTAAAGGAGGTACATTTATTGATAGAACATTTGATGAGCTAACTGACGAAAATATGAATGAACGGACCTACCTATCAAACAAATATTGGTTGAAGTTGTCATGTTAAACCAAATCAGAGATGATATAAATTACTGTTAACCCGTTGTTAAACATATGTCTGTTGCCAAGGGAATAGGCTTATATTGACTATGTATTCACGACAGTAGAAGGGGATGGAAGGATGGTTATCACACTATTCCTGAGCCAAGTTGATTTTCATTATAGTTTGGAAGATCGTTAAACATGCGCCTGCTGGGTAGAGAATACACATCGACGTTTGACCAGAGAAGAACGGGTGTGTCGACATTGATGCACCATGCTTTATCTTTGGGTACGTAATTTCAGTTTCACGAAAATGTGTTTACTGAGGGAATGCCGCTGTGTTCGACTAGTGTCGCCATAAATGTTCTATACCGTGCCTGCCGACTTGTAAGGATTTCCGTTGTTGAAAATAATTTGTGAAAATAATAAAAGGTATCAAGAAATATATGCACTGTAACAGTTGCAAGAGGAACCGGAATGCTAAAGTGGCGTCATAGAGAAAATCGACCTGGGATATTTAACAAGCCTAAGTTCCTAAACTGAAATAGGAACATGTAAGCATCACTACATTAATTGTTTCATCAAAGAACTTGGTCTAATGATATATCAAATAATGCCACATATAAGGCCAGTATATGTGAACTGAGGAAGAAATATGCCCAAACCATAAATCAGTACTGTCAACATTTGAATTGTCCATTCCTCTTTTGTATTGGATTCCAAAGTTCCATAAAAATCCGTACAAAGAGAGATATATTGCTCGGTCCAGCAAATGTACCACTAAATCCCTGTCTCAAAGACTAACCATAATCCTAAATACAACCAAGGAAAGACTTTCTTTATATTCACAGTGTTTGAGACAAGTGGAATTAATACCATGTGAATTCTCAAAAACTCAAAGGTTTCACTTGACTGTTTTGCAATCTCAGAAAAGAACCAAGTTCCATAATGTCAAAACATTTGATTTTTCAGCTTTGTTCACCACTATCCCACATGAGAAACTTAAGTAACAACTTCATTCTTTGATCCATGGGACTTTTGTTACAAAACGTGGTGTACACAGATACATTTACGTATCTTTATTCAGAGGTTCAGGACAATTTTTGAAACATGAAAGCAAATGCCATCTGAAGTTTACTGAAAAAAAACAATATGTGAAATGCTGGACTTCCTCATTGATAACATCTACCTAAAAGTTGAGGGTAAGACATTTAGGCAAGAAGTAGGCATCCCCAGGGGCACCAATTGTGACTCACTTCTTGCGGATATGTTTCTTTATGCACATAAATCGGAATTTCTGTTCGATTGGCAAAGTCAAAACAAGGTCATTTGGCCAAGAAGTTTAACTTAAGCTTCTGGTATATCGATGATCTGATATCGTTAAATAACAATCAAATAACCAATTTCCTTTCACTGATTTACACCCACCTGAACTAGAAATAAAGGAGACCAGTGAGACCAGTGCATAAAGATTCAGAGTGATAAAACACTCTCCGCAAGACTGTATGATAAGAGGGATGACTTCAACTTTCCAATGGTATATTCTCCCTTCATGTCGAGCAACAGCCCAACAGCTCCAGCCTTTGGTGTTGTATTGGATATGGAAAGGCTTTGTAGCTTTATTTATCTTCATATAATTATGTAGGCATGTAAGCCTAATGTAGGGACAAATTATTTCTGGTAACCGTGGAAGAAACAAACTAAGAAGCTACAGGCTGTTTTAGAAAGTCTATAGCACAGAATAATACGTGGCATACCCTCTCAACCGTGCTTGCATGAGTTCTTTGGTTAAATTGTGTGGCCCCTTTAATGAAAGAAACTGGACGCTACACGAATATACCACCAGAAGAGAGATATTGCTTTAATTGTACAGACTGGGTGGAAGACGCGTATGTACATACGTATATATGACGACGTGAGGGAGGATCTTCTTAATATCTGTAGTCTCTCGCGACTGGTTGTAGAACTTTGTGTTCATTCTTTATGTGATGTAGTTTAACTGTTTTCTACGAGTGAGACAAAAATAAACTTGTCTGTCTGTCTGCCATATATTGTAGACAGGGACAGAGGGCTGATGCCACTAATTACACCTTAAAGCAATAGACTGATGACCAGGGGAATGACGACAGCCACAGGTAATAGGGTTATGCTGTGGGATAATGACGACATAAAGCTGTTACAAAAGTATTTCTTGCATAATATTTAATAAGGATCCCTGAAAAAAGAAGCGTAATTTCTGTTTTGAGCACATGAAGATGTGTTTACTTTATCAGGCAATGTAAATTAACACATTAACATTTACTTTGCTTTTGTTTTTGTTATTTCAGTATTTTAGTAGATATATATTTATTGACACATCTCCTACTTTATTGGTAAATGTTTGTTACTGTTTAGTGTTTCTCGAGGTATCCTTCTCGTTAAAATGAATTATGACCACAAGAATGTTCTTTAGCCTTTATATCCATGACCTTAGACCCATTTTTGAACAGTTCGTGTAGATGGGTATCGTAACATGTATACGTATAGTCATATTCAGATGATGTATTTGCATATATGTAATGACAAACTTCTTCTCTTACTTAATCAATTTTCCTCTTGGCTACTCTGGGCACGTGGAACAGAAGCTTTAGGATATATTTATTGTAAATATCAAAATGATGTATCAAAGAAATTCTTGATGGTACGGCAATTAGTAGAACCCTCCCCCTGAAATGTATTCTCAATAAGATAACTTACTCATTAAGTAAATGCTGATTATTCCGGGATTCGAACCCACTCTGAGTGAGGGACCTAATCGCCAGCGCATAAAGTCAGCGATCTAACCCACTCAGCCACCGAAGCTTCCACAATAATTTAAGTCCGACCACTGGTAGTCTGGATCACGTACTTTCTATACCCTTCTCACAAGTGTAACAAGTCCCGAGTGGGACTCAACCCAAACATTTACTGTTAAGAATTGAACTGTTTTAGAATTGACCGCATGTTGGTCGTTATGGTCGTTATGAAGGTAATACATATTGTTAATTAATTATAATATACATAATGCATACTTCGATTGAAATTTATGCTGTCCACGTCGCCACGTTTAACTGATTTATTTTGGTGATAGGCCCGGAGACTGATCGAGTCTGTAAGTTTAAATTTAAGTCAGACTCACAGATATTTGATCTGACATAGAAGAGATGCATCTGAAAAAAATGGATATATAGATAAAGGTATTCATTGGATGGAGCTGTGGAAAAAGGATCACCCTGTGTCATTACATCGGCTGATCAGACATAGCGATTGACCACATATCTACTTAAAATTACCGACAGTGGTATTTATATATGAACATTCGCTGTTTTTATTCAACCGTATGCTTGAAAATGAAACTCAATTGAAAAGTTCAACTCCTCTTTTGCTTGTTGGTCTCGAATAAAATAAATACCAATCAAACTGAACAATTCATACCTAGGTTTTCTAAACCTCCAAGATTTACATTTAAATGATATGGTAATCACATGTTCCTACAGATCTACGGACTCGTACTGATCTGTGTACGAAGCTTCACCACTGTCACCAAACTTCAGTCCAGGTTTCTATCAGCAAAAAGTGAATGTGGGATTTTGTTGTTACTTGAGAGGAATGAAGTAGACGCTTGGAATCATTTGTATTTATCTGGCAATTATTAACTACCTCGGGAAGTTATGGTTAAAGCTAAGGGTACGTACTGAAATATGTGAAATGAATATTAAATGTCTGCTTGTGAATAGATATTTAGAGTTGTTTCGACTTCGTCTCATGTAATCTAAAATACAACATATTGTTAATGTTCCCAACTTAAGGAAATTGTAAATGCTCAAATATATACACATATTATGATATGTAATTGGTTCTAGACAGCCACTGTGCCCAGAAACACCTTCGAACTTCAACTGGCTTACTCTGGTTATATTGAGCTAAACTTAGTAGATAAGGTTTGTAATACTCAGTTTTTCTAGCAATCCGTGGACAACCAACATTCCCGTGATTATCCAGCTATCTGGGAATTTTAGTATTGCCTTGTTCAGTCAAAGTGACTGAATCTTCGGTCGATTCGACACGTTTGATATTCAGACGTACTCGTCTAGTTTATTGCCCAAATGACTTATTTCAGGGATAAGCCCTCTGTGTTTAATTCCCGTTATTTATCTAAGCCGAGGTCCTTCAATCATTGACTCAAGTGTTAATTGGTCACAGTCGACTTAATTGGCTGTCTACGCTTACTGATGAAAACGAAAGCACATACCTTTTGGTGGAGTTGTGGTAATCTTGCAGACTGAAGCGAATACTTTGTCCTTAAGGCCTCCTAACTTTTTGAAGTCCTGTACTGTAAATCGATTCTCTTCAATGGGTCTACTGGCTATCCCTTCTAACTCCGCTGTACGCTTCTTCAGTCCAATACCAATGGCATAGATGTGGATGTTTTCCCTCCTGACAGCCTTTGCTTCTGGAATCGTCTTTTTGGAATTCCTGTTGGACAAACCATCTGTGATGACCAAAGCTACATTCATGGCACTTCCACGATCACCTCTTCTTTTGATGAACATTTTAGTTCTCAGTGTTCTGAGACCAGCATATGTGTTGGTAGCTCCTTTTTTGTATCTGATTTTGTCTATTGCCTGGAATAACTCTTTCTTCGTTTTATATTGATTGAGGTGAAACTGAATATGCACACGTTGGTTAAAAGTGACCACACCAACTCGGACTTTACCATCATCTATACTTGCTGTCGAAAGGAAGCTTTTCACGAAGGAAAGCATGATTTTGAAGTTGTGCAGTTTGACACTACCGGAAGAGTCCAGCAGAAAGACCAAATCCAGTTCTTGCCTTGGACAAGCTGTAAAATAACAAGTTATATTGGATCACATATCTCTCATCATCCTAATTATTAACTCATTTTCATAGATTTCTGTCCTTTGATATTTCATTTCAAAAGTGTGTTTTTATAGCTATCCTTGGTGGAACAGTTGTGGAAAAGAGTGTGATAATGTGTCAATGCCCAGCGTCGGTTCCAAACATGCATACTGTGAGTATGCACACTGTCTATCATCACACGAAGGAAGAACAATTACCAAAGGTGTTATGAAGTAAAAGAACATTCAAGTGACTATGAATATATGCCACAGAGGTATGTATAAATGGTCATTGTTTTTTATGCTTAATATTTGACAAATATTTTGCGTAAACGATATACGATTTATGCAGATAATAGAAGAAGAGGGTCTTGCTGCCTAGAGATGCATGATAATCTTGAACCGAACAATCTTGAACTCTTTCGCTGAACATATGTACAAATAATTCTGTATTGCCAACGCTTTGTGCAACCCATACATCCCCAAACACGGGTATGGATATCTGTTTGGACTCATTTTCATCATCTTTGGTCAATATATCATGCATTTTACATTATAAATAGTATGATGTGGATACCTGCCACATTCACCTTAGGCCACTACATTTGCAGTTCTGTAGCATGTGTGAAGAAAACATTTACAAAATTTGCAGTGGACAAATTCAATCGCATTCCATTTTTGGTATCCCCAAATCATTAATTTCCGAACAATGTTTTTATCAAATATATAAAAAGATATCGTGACCGAAATATCATAACGCCTTATTAACAATTTAACTGACCAAAGTGCTTCGCTTGCTTGCTCACATAATGTTTTACAGGCTTTAGTCCAACTGAATTTGGGAGTGAAAATAAGTCCCAAATATTTATAGGCATTAACTGTTTTCATACGCTCACCGTTATATAATACCACCTCTCATTTTTTTACGAGGGTCCTCCCAATTTAAACACAATAATTTTACTCTTCTCAGTATTAATATCTGTACCCCATTTATAAGAGTATAAATATAATTCATTAAGACGTGTTTGTAATTTTAATACACTGTCTGCAACACGTATTAAATCGATAGAAAAATAGGGCAATTATCTTTAACATTTCCTCTGAGATAAGAACACCACCCTGGAAGTTATTTTCCAAACATATAACTAATTCGTTGATAAACAAAGAAAACAGTACTGGACTAAGTGTACAACCTTGTCTTACCCAACATGAACTATCAAAATACTCAGTAATTTTTTTATCATAATCGTATGTTACAGTTGCTTTTACATCATTATACATACCCTGGATGATATATAATGTTTCATACACTACTAAATGTTCGGTCATAGGTAGATGGTAGATTGTCATATTGACAAAGAAATAACATTTCTGTAAATAGTTCGGTGATAACACTGGACTTGTTAATAGCCAGCACGAGAGTGAAGTAATTGGATTCACATTAATGAGCATGGCCGTTACCAAGTGTTCCGTGTAGGCTGCTTGTTGACCAAGATTTTAGTGACGCACTACACTGAATATCTATCAGGTTTTAATAATTGCATAGAGGGAGTACACTTTACTCAAAAGGGATGTGAATATGATGTGTAACTTTAATATAACACAAAGGAGGTCCCAGGTGTTCAAGTGCATGGGTAGCATGTTGTGAACATTTTTAAAGCTGTACACCTTTTCATAATTAAATGACATCACAGTTGCGTTTAGAACAAATAGAAATGTATATACATGTGTATGTTTCAGGAAATTATAACATGTATGTTGCCATAAGAGGACATGCTTTGAGATTCAAGTTCACAATTGATATACTGTATACGAATACTGTAATTATAACAAGTCTGTACATGGTGATTTCATTCTACTCCTTTTCTTGGATTTCTACAAATAACACCAGGATGACGAGCTTTTTTTATTTTTGATATCATGAACACAACTGAAACCCAAACATGAATGATAATGTGGAACATTGGTTCTTACGAGGGATGTCCTTAAAACATAAAATAATTACTTATAATTACGTATAAAACGCTAGGCTCCCAGGCAGTCCATCTTTTAGTAATAGAAGACTGCGACCCTTATCACTTATGTTAGTTAATAATTAGTCATCTAATACGATTTATGTCGTTATAGCAGTTGTGGGCACTTCATCTTCCTTAGAAGACATATAGGAAACTATGCTGTCCAAAAATGTTATTCCTAATAATTTAAACATGTTTTGATCCCTAAATATGAGTGCATCCGAAACTTAATCAGAAATGGTTAAACTTAAAACGTTGACGATTCTAAACATGTCCATAACCTAAAAACGAAGATTACCAGTTGTATCTTGCTCTGCAACCAACAACATCAACTTAAGAGCTTCTTAGTGTCGGTTCACATACAATACGTTTCTACAATCGATGACTCTATATTTATTAAAGCAAACTAATAATTCATTATTTGGAGAATAATACTTAATATCTGATCCCTTAACATTGAAATAAACATTTCTCATCTGACTAATGCCTGATTTCATTGCCCTGAAATGTCCTGGTCTCTTTCATGAGTTGAATATAACGATTGCTACGACAGTAAATTTGTTGCAAATGTACATTTGTTCCTCGTATTGAAAAGGAGGGGGTAACTATTAACTATCGTCACCATTAACTGTAATTCACACTTCCGAGGGCCAACTTAGATTTTTGGGATGTTGAGATCCTGGCCTAGTTCATCTATACTATGTCATCAACGTGTTTATTTAAACAATGAAAAAAACGTTTAACCTTTTGCAACGTTAAGTACCATATATATCTGGCGCCGTCATTATACCTAACGCCTTTAAACCGTGAAGACATCTGCTGACATCATTTTGACACGAGACCGCCTCCGTGGTCTAGTGGGAGATGGACCGCCCGGAGAGCGTTAGGTTCGGGGTTCGATTCCCGACCGCGTCATACCAAAAGATGGTCGGACTTATTGTTACCCTGTCTGGTGCCCGGCATTAAGGGGCTAAAACAAAAACTGGTCAGTGTTTGACGAGCAATTTCAACGATCTGAACGGCGCCCAGTCTACCTGGTGGTTTATTTGGAGTCTTCCTACTTGTCCAGCTCCTAATGTTACAGGTTTCAAAGTCACCAAAGCGTGATAATTGGTAAAGCAATATGGGATTTAGGGGGGTGGACATTTTAATCACTTACTACGATCTGGGCCATAAAAGTAGTTACAGACAAGAACCAGCATTCCACTGTGGCAAATGGGCAAGGTAATTGACAGTTTATTCCCAATTCCCAAAGGGGTCCGTATATGCTGGTTCACCACCTCAACCTACAACACCAAAGAATCAAGTCCACCAAAGAAACAGAAACCAACCACCAGTTACCCTTCCTCAATGTACAACTCGACAACAGGCTTGACCACATCCACACTGCCGTCTACCCCACTCGCACGGAACAGTACATTAAGCACTACATCAAACCCCAGATCAAACAAGCCATATTTGCCAACCTCACCCGGCGAGTCATAGCCATCTGCAATCCGAACAGTCTCGGCAAAGAAATTCAGCATATACTTTCATCGCCCTCAATGGATATCAAAAACATCTGGTGAAAACAAACATACAGAAAGCCCAAGAAATCCAGCATTTCCAAGTCCAAACCAGCCCCATCACCCATCCTCGTCAGCATCTCATACCAATGCCCTACAAGTCACCAGATCGGCAGACTGCTCACCAAAAACAGCCAACATAGACGTAACCTTCACTTCCGACAGGATACTGAAAAACATGTTACACGCTAACAGCAAAGGTCCCACTCAGTCCTACCTAAACCCCAGAGGATGTGAGATATGAGATATGTTACAACTGTGGACACAAGTCCATTGGGGAGACTTCACGCCACATAGCCACCAGAATCAAAGAACACAAGACAAAATCTGACATGAAGTCTGCCCTTTCGAAACTCCGGACCACCAAATTTCCTGGCCACAAACAAAGATACTTCATACAAACATCAGTCATTGGCAAAAAGGGGAAACTTCAAGAAAGTATCGAAATCAGTAGAACGAAGCCAGCCATTAACAGAGACCAGGGTATCTACCTACCCAGTGTGGACTCCACTGTGCTATAACAACATCATCTACCACAATGGATATCTTGATTACCTTATTCCTTGTTACCACTACACCTCCAGCGTATTTAATTAATCCTCTCATGTTAATCTCATTGGCTTCGTCAAAATAATGTTATCTTAATCCTATCCCATCGGCTTCGTCATTATATTGTTATCTTAGTACATTAATCCTATCCCATCGGCTGTGTCATTGTGTTGTTATCATTGTACATTCATCCCACCTTGATATACATATATATTACTCCATGCACTTACTAAGTATACTCTATGCACAGACCATGCCCCAGCCTGGGGTTGGTTAAAACACGAATCGCAGTTAGATTCGCAATAGTTCTCCTGAAGCCAAGAGATGCAAGAGCTACCCGAACGCAGAAACAGAGCAGCAAATGACAATAAAGAAATCATATCAATACAAAAACAAATTCAATGAAAACTAAAACTCGCAATAGATATGTGTCCCCTTCTTCCGAAGAGGGCCAGGTCAGCCGAAATTACTAAGACAGAATGCGACCTCTTAAACCCCTGAAGCAAACAACAACAAGAAGCTACTAAGCAACCACCTGATGAAGGAGCAACAAGTAGTAGCTCTGACACGTCGTATAAAGAATAAAAGAAGTTGCTTTCCATAAAAAATGTCATGTATTCGAATACAAGTTCATGATTTAGACTGGACGTCAAACTTCCATCTACTGGAAATGTTCCCAAGGAGGATGCCCGACCACCGTTAACACCTAAGATGACTTTGCCAGGAAGCAAAATATCATGTCACTGAGCAGTGGGTCAGGTCAGACTGGTATCCAAATCTGTACACATTCATTGAGATACTGCAGGTTCAGCAGGATGATACTGCTATCACAACAGTTAGTTCGACGCTATATTGAAAAAGAAGACATTTCGAAACCTAGATCATTCCTTTAGGAGGGAGCAGAAACAATTCCTCGACAACCAGAAGCCAGTAAACGATTATTACAATGAGGTTTTACTTTTAGCTGGACTGTGAAAAATGTAAATGTTAGATGTGAAGGAAAAACGTATCTACATGTTTGTGTACTTTTGTGTCACAAATCGTTATCAAGGTGTAATAAGCATCCGCCGGTCCCATGCAGTGTTTGGTTGATAATTAAGGTCCTCTACCTCCTTCTCAAACAGATACCTGTATATTTCCACCCCTTTATGTTTGTATGGTGCTCACATGGGGGCAAGTATATGTTATTATGTCCCAGCTATAGGGACAGCTTCTGGACAAGTAAGACGTCACCGTTCATGGTAACCAATAGGATTGTAGTAATAAAATGCTAGTTTCAGATTGTTAATTGATATTTTAATTATTCACAATATCAAGATAAAAGGTGACGTTTCACGCATTAAACAATGTAAACAGTGTTGTTATTTGTGTAGGATTAACATAAATATGAGAAAAAGTGTATCTAGTGTTTTGTTTTTTTACTGTATACTGTGACTCATTAGTCTATATCTGGCCGGATGCACTCCATACATCTATTGTCTCATGTGCACCAATTTTATATTGTACATGTTGTGCATGTGACACTTTAATAAACATTTTACTACTACTACTACTACTACTACTACTACTACTCTTTAGCTGCTAAGAATCACACATCAGCCAATGGAAAGCTTTGTCACGCACCGCTGCGCTGGTAAATTAAGGCCACGCCTACCTAATACTTTTGCTTTGAGTGTCGATCTAAGTTCTAACAGTGAAATGTCGCAGGATAGCGAGCGACAACATATCTACTTAAAAGTACCGACAGTGGTATTTATATATGAACATTCGCTGTTTTTATTCAACCGAATGCTTGAAAATGAAACTCAATTGAAAAGATCAACACCTCTTTTGCTTGTTGGTCTCGAATAAAATAAATACCAATCAAACTGAACAATTCATACCTAGGTTTTCTGAACCTCCAAGCTTTACATTTAGGTGATATGGTAATCACATGTTCCTACAGATCTACGGACTCATACTGATCTGTGTACAAAGCTTCAACACTGTCACCAAACTCCAGTCCAGGTTTCGATCAGCAAATAGTGAAAGTGGGATTTTTAATATTGCCTTGTTCAGTGAAAGTGACTGAATCTTCTGTCGATTCGACACGTTTGATATTCAGACGTACTCGTCCAGTTTATTGTCAATTAGGGATAAGCCCTCTGTGTATATTTCCCGTTATTTAACCAAGCCAGGGTCCTTCAATCATTGACTCAAGCCAATTGGTCGCAGTCGACTTAATTGGCTGTCTACGCATCTAGGGTCTGTATCTTATCAAAGTGTTGTTTTAGCTACTCTCATTTTATTACTGTAATGCAGCTGCTTCGCCTTTACTTTGATATTATTAATCAGTGATCCTTGTCAGCTCAGATTGGGCTTATCCATTCTTTTATTGTCACCTTTAAGTACAATTAGCTGTTTTTAATAAACCTGTGAACCTATTACTTACGTTTTCATCATGACTTTATTTTTATTTAATGACCCCTGGTCATTTGATCACAGCTCCGTGAGACACACACAATGGCCTAGAATTTGATTATGACAAAGCGAAATTTACACAGTACCTTATTACCTTACACACAATTTCAAGGTACTGAAATATGATCGTACCCTCATAACCACTATGTATTGATATTTCACATACGAGCAGAAAATCACTTAGCAATCACCTCATACTTATCAATGGTTTTAACTGTCCTTGGTTTTATGTGGGCAGTTTTACAACTGATGGCTGTTTCCCCTTCCAAAAAGTAAATGACTTAGAATATTTAACTCGGATTTCCGTTGTTGAGAATAATTTGTAGAATTATTAAAGGTATCGAGAAATAAATGTATATGCACTGTAACAGTTGCAAGAGGAACCGGAATACTAAAGTGACGTCATGTCTAGAGAAAATAGACCTTGGACATTTAACAAGCCTAAGTTCCCAAATTGAAACAAAAACATGTAAGCATCACTAAATTAATTGTTTCATCCAAAAACTTGGTATAATGATATATAAAATAATGCCACATATAAGGCTAATATATGTTAACTGAGGAAGAAATATCCCCAAACCATAAATCAGTACTGTCAACTTTTGAATTGTCCATTCCTCTTTTGTACTGGATTCCAAAGTTCCATAAAAATCCGTACAAAGAGAGATATATTACTCGGTCTAGCTAATGTACCACTAAATCCCTGTCTCAAAGACTAACCATAATCCTTAATACAATCAAGGAAGGACTTTCTTTATATGCACAGTGTTTGAGACAAGTTGAATTAATACCATGTGAATTCTCAAAAACTCAAAGGTTTCATAAGTTCCATAATGTACACCACTATCCCACATGTGAAACTTAAGGAACAACTTCATTCTTTGATCCATGGGGCTTTTGTTACAAACGTGGTGTACACTGATACAGTTACGTATCTATATTCAGAGTTTCAGGACAATTTATGAAACATGAAATAATGACTTATTTCAGGGATAAGCTTTCTGTGTTTAATTCCCGTTATTTAACCAAGCCGAGCTCCTTCAATCATTGACTCAAGTGTTAATTGGTCGCAGTCGACTTAATTGGCTGTCTACGCATCTAGGGTCTGTATCTTATCAAAGTGTTGTTTTAGCTACTTTCATTTTATTATTATAATACAATTGCTTCGTATTCACTCTGATATTATTAATCGGTGATCCTTGTCAGCTCAGATTGGGCTTATCCGATCTTTTATTGTCACAGACAACAACACTTACTAATGAAAACAAAAGCACATACCTTTTGGTGGAGTTGTGGTAATCTTGCAGACTGAAGCGAATACTTTGTCCTTAAGGCCTCCTAACTTTTTGAAGTCCTGTACTGTAAATCGATTCTCTTCAATGGGTCTACTGGCTATCCCTTCTAACTCCGCTGTACGCTTCTTCAGTCCAATACCAATGGCATAGATATGGATGTTTTCCCTCCTGACAGCCTTTGCTTCTGGAATCGTCTTATTGGAATTCCTGTTGGACAAACCATCTGTGATGACCAAAGCTACATTCATGGCACTTCCACGATCACCTCTTCTTTTGATGAACATTTTAGTTCTCAGTGTTCTGAGACCAGCATATGTGTTGGTAGCTCCCTTTTTGTATCTGATTTTGTCTATTGCCTGGAATAACTCTTTCTTCGTGTTATATTGATTGAGGTGAAACTCAATATGCACACGATGGTTAAAAGTGACCACACCAACTCGGACTTTACCATCATCTATACTTGCTGTCGAAAGGAAGCTTTTCACGAAGGAAAGCATGATTTTGAAGTTGTGCAGTTTGACACTACCGGAAGAGTCCAGCAGAAAGACCAGATCCAGTTCTTGCCTTGAACAATCTGTAAAATAACAAGTTACATTGGATCACATATCTCTCATCATCCTAATTATTAACTCATTGTCATAGATTTCTGTCCTTTGATATTTCATTTCAAATGTGTGTTTTTATAGCAATCCTTGGTGGAACAGTTGTGGAAAAGAGTGTGATAATGTGTCAATGCCCAGCGTCGGTTCCAAACATGCATACTGTGAGTATGCACACTGTCTATCATCACACGAAGGAAGAACAATTACCAAAGATGTTATGAAGTAAAAGAACATTCAAGTGACTATGAATATGTGCCACAGAGGTATGTATAAATGGTCATCGTTTTTTATATTATTATTACCTTTCGCAGTAATTGCAACTGCTGTGCATATATGACACATATTTCAGTACCTTGAAATCTTGTATGACCGGGTTTAGATTTAGTGTATGTTTCAGTGACAGACAAACAGATATTTGTTTCAAGGCCAATTGATCCATTGTACAAAATACATTTACATCATATTTATCTAGGAGTTACTTAATTGATATTTTGTTTTGTTGTTGAGAACACGTACATTACAAATTTTGCAACATTTATCATTGCATCATTGTTGGATAATTGACAGAGTCTTTCTAAACGAAAATAATGATGATCAACTGTCTTTTCCCGCCGACTTGCATACAGAGGGCAATTGTATATAACATGAAGTTCATCCTCAATTACATGACAGTGTTTACATAATACGGCATCATCCCCAACTTTTTGTCCATATCTAAATTTGGTTTTTAGCCTTCTATATTTACAATGCTTAATATTTGACAAATATTTTGCGTAAACGATATACGATTTATGCAGTTAATAGAATAAGAGGGTCTTGCTGCCTAGAGATGCATGATATCTTGAACTCTTTCGCTGAACATATGTACAAATAATTCTGTATTGCCAACGCTTTGTGCAACCCATACATCCCCAAAACACGGGTATGGATATCTGTTTGGACTCATTTTCATCATCTTTGGTCAATATATCATGCATTTTACATTATAAATAGTATGATGTGGATACCTGCCACATTCACCTTAGGCCACTACATTTGCAGTTCTGTAGCATGTGTGAAGAAAACATTTACAAAATTTGCAGTGGACAAATTCAATCGCATTCCATTTTTGGTATCCCCAAATCATTAATTTCCGAACAATGTTTTTATCAAATATATAAAAAGATATCGTGACCGAAATATCATAACGCCTTATTAACAATTTAACTGACCAAAGTGCTTCGCTTGCTTGCTCACATAATGTTTTACAGGCTTTAGTCCAACTGAATTTGGGAGTGAAAATAAGTCCCAAATATTTATAGGCATTAACTGTTTTCATACGCTCACCGTTATATAATACCACCTCTCATTTTTTTACGAGGGTCCTCCCATTTTAAACACAATAATTTTACTCTTCTCAGTATTAATATCTGTACCCCATTTATAAGAGTATAAATATAATTCATTAAGACGTGTTTGTAATTTTAATACATTGTCTGCAACACGTATTAAATCGATAGAAAAATAGGGCAATTATCTTTAACATTTCCTCTGAGATAAGAACACCACCCTGGAAGTTATTTTCCAAACATATAACTAATTCGTTGATAAACAAAGAAAACAGTACTGGACTAAGTGTACAACCTTGTCTTACTCAACATGAACTATCAAAATACTCAGTAATTGTTTTATCATAATCGTATGTTACAGTTGCTTTACATCATTATACATACGCTGGATGATATATAATGTTTCATACACTCCTAAATGTTCGGTCATAGGTAGATGGTAGATTGTCATATTGACAAAGAAATAACATTTCTGTAAATAGTTGGGTGATAACACTGGACTTGTTAATAGCCAGCACGAGAGTGAAGTAATTGGATTCACATTGATGAGCATGGCCGTTACCAAGTGTTCCGTGTAGGCTGCTTGTTGACCAAGATTTTAGTGACGCACTACACTGAATATCTATCAGGTTTTAATAATTGCATGAGGGAGTACACTTTACTCAAAAGGTATGTGAATATGATGTGAAACTTTAATATAACACAAAGGAGGTCCCAGATGTTCACGTGCATGGGGAGCATGTTGTGAACATTTTTAAAGCTGTACACCTTTACATAATCAAATGGCATCACAGTTGTGTTTAGAAAATAGATATGTATATATGTTTAAGGAAATCACAGCATGTATGTTGCCATAAGAGGACATGCTTTGAGATTCTATGAAGTTCACAATTAATATGTATGTTAACGAATACTGTAACAAGTCTATACATGGTGATTTCATTCTACTCCTTTCTTGGATTTCTACAAATAACACCAGGATGACGAGCTTTTTTTATTTGTGATATCATGAACACAACTGAAACCCCCACACATGAATGATAATGTGGAATATTGGTTCTTACGATGGATGTCCTTAAAACATAAAATTAAATACTTCGACTTCACCATAAGAATTTTGGCAGCAGGTCAAAACTATCAGCATGCAACTAATTAACCTGGAAACTGAACTTACGAATTTAAGGATCCTATCAAAAAATGAACAGGAATATATTTAGTCCGGTTGAGTAAGGCACATTGGGGGTTTCTTTTTAATGTGTTTTCTTTATTATTCTTGTGCATGTTGGAGGTTCATTGCCTTATTGTCTTGCTCAACTCATCGTTGACAATGTTTCTACTCTTACCCTCCGTTGCATGCATGAGAGCATACGTTGAGTCCCTTTAGGAAACTACGACATGCATGTAAAAGACTATCGTTCGGAAGATAAGGCCTAAATCTAACAGTAGGACTAACCTCATTCGCCAAAAATAGCGCAGTCATTAGCACTAGGCTCACATGCAGTCCATCTTTTAGTAATAGAAGACTGCGGCCCTTATCACTATGTTTGTTAATAATTAGTCTTCTAATACAATTTATGTCGTTATATCAGTTGTGGGCACTTCATCTTCCTAAGAAGACATATAGGCAACTATGCTGTCCAAAAATGTTATTCCTAATAATTTAAACATGTTTTGATCTCTAAATATGTTTGCATGTTCTGATCCCTAAATATGTTTGCATCTAAAACTTAATTAGAAATGCTTAGAGTTTAAACGTTTAAGATTCTAAACATGTCCATAACTTAAAAATGAAGATTACCAGTTGTATCATGCTGTGCAACCAACAACATCAACTCAAGAGCTTCCAAGTGTCGGTTCACATACAATACGTCTCTACAATTCATGACTCTGTATTTATTAAAGCAAACTAATAATTCATTATTTGGAGAATAATACTAAATATCTGATCCCTCAACATTGAACTAAACATTTCTCATCTGACTAATGCGTGATTCCATTGCCCTGAAATGTCCTGGTCTCTTTCATGATGTAAATTTGTTGCAAATGTACATTTGTTCCTCGTATTGAAAAGGAGGGGATAACTATTAACTATTGTCACCATTAACTGTAATTCGCACTTCTGAGGGCCAACTTAGATTTTAGGGATATTGAGATCCTGGCCTCGTTCATATATTATATGTCATCAACGTGTTTATTTAAACCATGGAAAACCTTTTATCCTTTTGCAACGTACACATATTCTTAAAAACGTTAAGTACAATATATGTCTGGCGCCTTCGTTATACCTAACCGCCTTTTTACAGTGAAGACATCTGCTGACATCATATTGACACGAGACCGCCAGCTTCTCAATAGGATGATAGTAATAAAATGCTAGTTTCAGATTGTTCATTGATATTTTAATTATTCACAATTTCAAGATAAAAGGTGACGTTTCACACATGAAACAATGTATACAGTGTTGTTATTTGTGTAGGATTAACATAAATATGAGAAATAGTGTATCTAGTGTTGTTGTTTTTAATTGTACACCGTGACTCATTAGTATATGTCTGGCTGGACGCACTCCATACACCTTTTGTCTTATGAGCATCATTTCTATATTGTACATGTTGTGCGTGTGACACTTTAATAAACAATTTACTACTACTACTACTACTACTACTACTACAATTACTACTACTACTACTTATAATAATACTAATACTAATACTAATACTAATACTACGCTTCAGCTGCTAAGAATCACACATCAGCCAATGAAAAGCTTTGCCACGCACTGCTTCGCTGGTAAATTTAGGCCACGCCTAACTAATAGTTTTGCTTTGAAAGTCGATTACAGAGCGCGTGATTTCAGCACTTTTACTTGACCATTTATATACTTTCTACTGATGTTATGATTATCTCTCCTCGGAAATATATCTACAAGGACAACTGATATTCCCCAAAAATCGCAATATATTTTTTTTACTTTACTTGTCTTTAAAATATTTGATGAAAAGTAACACCTCATTTGCCAAAGGTGTAAACTAAATATATTCCTCAACCAGAAGCAGAAACGTGGCGGGACATACGGGTTTGGGACGTCTGTCCGCCGTTATCATTTTATCTGCTACGTAAATATCATACCATGTAATTTTTTTGCAAAATTTCAAATGAATAAAATAGAAAACAAATATTTGCAAAGCCAACGCTACCTTTTCGTCATTTGTCAGAACCACGTCATTGTGTTTTCAGTAATTGAAATACATCACGGCTTGTCAACTTAAGGTACAAGAAAGGGCCAAAATAAGGCGGGTACAATGTAGGAGACGTTCACCACTTTCGTGAGTTCTAGGAACTGTATACTGTTGACAGACCAACGATCATAATCTTAGCAAGATGGGATTAAAATCAACCATCAGGGCGTGGCTTCAGTGCAAACTTGCACTGGGTGTTGTGGCGCCTAAGACCATTCCACGACCTGTGCCGTTTCAAAACAAGAATCAAAATGAAGTCGTGGGTGAATTGAAGTAGTGAGAAGTGTCAACTTACCCAGCTTGGTGGAGGCCTTCCCGAGGTGGAAAAGCCCCAAGATCAGGGACAGCTGCCAAATCCTAAAATAAATGTATGAGTTGTAATTCTTTGAACGGTAATTCTGTAGACGAGAAGACGCCAACAGAATATCTACAGCAGCGTCTTATGAAAAACGTTGTCCCCCGAAGGGTTTCAATAAAAACTGTGTGGTATAATATCATTAACTAAACGACACATCACTGATGCTGTATCGCGACTTTTTAACTGTATGAGACAAACGTCTATTAAGAACACACTGCCAGTATTTTCTTGATCGTACATAAGATTAGCATGCACACCAACGGAGAGACGACAACGGGCCATACTTTATTTCCCTCATTGTGGAATCTGACTTGGAATCAAAATAGGTCCATATAATTTCCACGAACAGCCGACGAAAATTAGCACACTAAACATTACTGACACAACGTCATGATGTTATGACGTTCCGTATTCACAAGCTATTGTTGCAATGCAAACACTGGTCTTTGACCAGGCAAAATTAATTTCCGAAAATAGATCTTTTTGCGGTTTTGAATAATCAGACAACTTTTAATAGCCTTGACGTAACAACGAAACGATTGGGAGAGTACATGAAGATTCAAGGCCATCACAGTTGAGCGAGATCGCTAGAACGCGAGTATTTTGCCAAATATCGGGAGGACGCGAACCTTTGGACAAATATCGCGTTCTTGCGATCTCGCCTTTTCGGACTTTTGGAATTCTAAGCTTGTGTCGAAAGGTCGAGATCAAGAGAACGCGAGATTGACTCACACAGAATTTCAGAGAAAACACACAACATGTTTATCTCCGTGGTACCACACTATAACGTAATCAACGTAAAATACATCACAAGAAGAAGCCAGCAAACTCCGGATATATAGAAATCAGATGTAACGAATAACCTCATATGACGAACCTAAACTTAATGCTGCTATGCTAGTAATGATAACTGTTAATGTGAATGACAAATTTCCAAAGTAACAAACGTTAGTGAAATGAAAAGATTCCGGGCGAAGACACACCAGGGTATTCGATATCAACTTACCTCATGATTAACAGGCGACCCGACGATGCTTACTAGTATATGCTGCGCAGTTTATATATACATGCATTTAAATTAATCGTTACAGTCCCAAACTGTGGCGGATAAAGGACTCCGATTTTACAAGGACAGATTTAAAATGTTTTGCATTGAGTTAGTTTACTACAAAGAGACATCGATCAGATTGTAATTGGAAATTTGAAATTTTCAAAAGTTTGATTAACAAGCATCAGCAGATTCAAATTTGAACGGAACCACAACTTAGTTTAATTAAATTTGCCGCATTGTATAATATCCTTCTATATCGACATTTTGATAACCATAACTACATGTTTATCAACACCATGGCTCATTGATATTAGTATTAGGTATGCACCACTGACTTCACTCTGTTGGAATGAGCCAACAAATAACTTGAAAATTGAATCCATTCAGTGGTTTAGTGAAGGCCATTCAGACAATATATTGCATTACTGATTTTATTTAACGCAAAGAACATAATATGCTGATTTCTATACACACGCTTGAATTATATCCAAGGTAACAGTCACATGTTGCGAAATGCGTAGGTTCCTGCGCACAAAAAGTCCTTTCAAAAATATATTTTTCACAGAATTACAAAAGTGCTTATAATTAATGTTCACAACAGCTGTCAACAGGAAATGTGAACTGAGAAATATTAGGCAACATGACGCAACATAATAGACTTCAATCTCGTAACAGAACCAAGTCCATGTGTCAGTCTTTGAACGTAAGAAAACATTGTGATTGTAAAACATAGCTCACCTTTTCGCGAACACCTTATATCATCGCTATTTGATAGTGATTCTAAACACATGCTCATGATATAGTCGGAATCGTGCAATCGACTCTGCTTTTAGAAAAGATTTCTTATGAATATGGAAAGGGGTTCGTAGCTTGTATATAAATATGACATGCTTAACAACGGATTAAACCCCCAGCTAATTGACAGTGTTAGCATGTATGTATGCTAATGAAACCATTCAAATGCGATTTTACACTTCACTTTATGATCAGTTTGCAAGAACAAACAATTAGAAACATATTTTTTTACAGATACTCCAAGTAATAGTTTCTAACATTTCCAAAACTAAGTTCAAAACCTTTTCCTTCCATACACGGGCCTCATCAAGTTTGCAATCAATGACGAAGTGCCATGCAGTATACGGGTTCGAATCCCGGAATTGAGAAAAGTCAATCCATGGTTTGCAAAAAGAAGAAAACGATTATTATTTTTCGCGGAGGAATGAACCCATGAACGGGCAAAGTGGAACCACCAACACATCAGTATGCGAATATATCACTCCCAACAACAACAGAAGACGTCATGAGGGATTTAAACCTTCACTGAAAACTTCTTGCTGGTGTCATCACTAATTTTCAATGATCCATTCATATTAACAATTTTTCGTTACAATTTTGCCTTTTACGCAGGATGAAATCTGTTTCGGCATATAATTGATCTGAGGCTGTAATAACGGAGCGTTGTTGTCAATTATATATAATTAATGTTTTGTGTGAGTATGCAGTAATGATTAATTATTATTGATTTTCCTATTTTTATGAAACTTCCTGTAATTTAAAATTTGATCTACAAAATGAAGAAATGCAAAAGTAGTAAAACCGCAAATATCTGATTGAGTGTTGCCGACATCCTACAAAATTAATACCAAATATGAGTTGATAATGTCTGCATAGATTGGGATTGATATGTGTGGAAAGAATGGGTACTGCAGCAATTTGGTGACAAGATGGAAACATCGCAAAAACACAACCAACATGACATACACGTGCAACATCACTTGTTGGGGCTATAAAACGTTGCCATCACAATTCTACAGCAAGTGAACAGCCAATCTCATTCGCTGAACAAAGATCTCAGGACATCCCATTACGGGTCAGAACGACCTTTCATCCGACCATCAACGCGTCGTTTACCAGATCGTGAAAGTGACAGTCGGAATGTGTTTTCTAATCATGCAATCTCGAAAATGTTAACACGGGGTATTCCAAACGACTGTTACGGCCCGTATAACTGATTCCGTCAAAATCATCTATCTATCTCATGATCTCGCTTCCGTGGGATAAACATTTGAACGGATGATGCATTGCACAGTACGTGGGAAGCACTGCCATACAATCGCAACCATATATTAGGCATACTGGAATGTTCTTGTGTTCAGTTTTCAAAATATTAATCGAGGACTGTGTCAACATATTTTCAAAGCGTAGTCTGAAATGGAAGTCGCCAGGGTGAAACGAGTGCCGTTAAGCTCGAGAAAGCTGCTTTCTATTTTGCTGATGTCTACTTCTTGTTAGTAGTTTCAATGGTCGGTTAAAGTTCGCGAAAGGTCGTTCTGACGTGACCCGTAATGGGAAGTCCTCAGATCTTTGTTCAGCGGCGGCGAGAGCTCAGATCTGATTTTAATTATATTGGATGAAACTTAAGCGTGATATTCAAGTTCGTCTTTGTATAATCAAGCTTTTGATCCGTGTTTGGGAATTCTATTATACCTAAATAAGAGGAAGGGGAACGATTCCAATCAAGCAGTTTACTATCAGTGATTGCGTAGGGTATCATCAGCCCAGGCAGTGACGAACCGTTTACGCGCCGAAGGTATTCGCGCTAGACGACCAGGTCGAGGGGTCATTGTGACGGACCTGCATCGTCGGCTGCGACGTTAATGGTGTCAAAATGACAGAGTATGGGCACAACTGCGACGGAGACAAGTTTGATTTAGTCACGTTTTATGGTTCGCCGTGCGGATGGGAGACCCCAACTGCATACAGGAAGTGAACAGATTTGTAATGTGATGATGTGGGCAGCCATCTTCTACACTAGTAGAACCGACTTGGTGCAACTTCAAGGGAATTTAACGGCACATGGATGAGATCTTTGGGCCTATTATGCAACAAATGAACGTCATTTCCAACGTCATTTCCAACAAGACAACGTCCGACCTTACACGACAAGACTGACAATATCCAGGTCCTGCCATGGGCCCCCAGGTCTCAAGTTTCTAACCCTATCGAACATTTATATATTGGTTGCACCAGATCAACGACTGCCAGCACATCAGCATAAACCAAAGTACCTCCGACAGTCGGCACAAGCACTGCAGGAAGAGTGAGTGAACATTTCCCAGGCCATCGGGATCTGATTGTTTCCATCGGACGACGATGGCAGTCAGTTTTGAATTGAACACTTATGTGATACAATATATTGAGCACAGACGACCTTAAATTTGAGAATCTACTGTTCCATTTGTGCCAAATTTATATGATATATAAAATAGAAATTTAAAATCACTTTTGCGTTTCTTTCCACGTTTGCAGTAGGAACAAACAGGCATTCCTGTTCTCCTTTGAAGTGAAATTGAATATGCGAGCTTATGTACTTGAATATGTGTGAAAGTGTGACTTGTCAAACGTAAGTTGTAGATGCAAATTTTGATATATTTCACGTGAATACTTTATCTACCGAATTCGGCCAGTAGCGACGCTGTTCTTGGGGAATATGGACGACATAAATTATATACAATTTGCCTCCTTAAATGTATTAAATACTGGACAAAAGTAATCAACATGAATAATAATAGACTACCTAAACAATCATATATGATGATGTGTGGTCAAGACGAAATAGGAAGAACATCATGTGCGACTCTAATTTGGAGAACATTCTATTTCAATATGAATTGATATGAATCAATATATTTTCTTATCTGAATTCAAGCAACGCATGATTGACTCAGAAATACAGAGATTGCATTCCTCTATTTGCTCAAACTCTCAACCACCCAACTACATACTCACGATTGAATTATTTTAATCATCATCATAATCTACTAACATAGCTTAGTAATTTTTTTCATGTTTGCTTTTGAATGTCACTTGACAATGCGGTAATATCATTAACATAGCCTAGACTTAACACCCATTGTTATTTATCATTAATGTATATGTAATTTCCAATAGTGCAGTCAACCATATACATGTAATGTTTCTTCAAATGTACTACTTCGTACAACGTATTGTGTATGTACGTTCAACAGGCCAATTGTCTGAAACTTCATGAATGCATCTAAAAATCTAAAATATAGAACAACAATGCACGCCAGATTGCTGCAGGTCTCAGTATCCTTCTCATGTGTTATGTGTTACGTCTTATTCTGTCTCAAAAGCCTTGTCTCTCTCTCTCTCTCTCTCTCTCTCTCTCTCTCTCTCTCTCTCTCTCTCTGATTTGCTACAATATAGACAATTTGTCTCGATAAAATCTCAGCAAGACAACGATTGTGTAGTGCACGGAGTCAGGTCCTTTTGATTTTATAAGTTATAGACATCGACACGCGGTACCAGGGCATCTCAGAGTCTACCTATGTAATCGCATGTTATGTTTTATGTTACGTCATCTTAGCATCTCCTCACCTGGCGTTCGCGTTTGGTAGACAATTAATTGATAGTAGATCGAAAGGGTTTTTGAAATCAATTGCATACGTTACATATGTGATGTTGGTTACACGCGATCACACGTCCAAGCGGTTTTCTAACTAGATACGAAGGATTATTGTGGTGATTGTTTTATTTGATCTCCCTAAAGATACAGAATCATAATTGATGGCTGGTTCAACTTTCTCTGCCGCCCAGTGGCTGACATTCTCTACCGCCAAGTGTTAGCCTAACATTCTCTGTCGCCCAGTGGATAGCTTTCTTTACCGCCCAGTGGCTAACATTCTCTGCCTCCCAGTGGCTGAGAATTCTCTACCGCCCAGAGGCTAACATTCTCTGCCGCCCAGTGGCTAACGTTCTCTGCCGCCCAGTGGCTAACATTCTCTGCCTCCCAGTGGCTGAGAATTCTCTACCGCCCAGAGGCTAACATTCTCTGCCGCCCAGTGGCTAACATTCTTTGCCGCCCAGTGGCTAACATTCTCTGCCGTCCAGTGGCTAACATTCTCTGCCGCCCAGTGGCTAACATTCTCTGCCGCCCAGTGGCTAACATTC